CTGTCGACCAAAGGGAAACGCAATGCTACTAGCGCGCCCGAAGAATATTCAGCAACCAGTCGCAATTACCTTACGAATACTGCATGAAACCGGATCTATTGATGATCCGTCGACATAGCTGATGTAACTAGAATGGACCCATAAATAGCGAGAAATAGGGGTAATGGAGATACAGAGTCAGTGATATCTCCAGTTGGCCGGATACAGTAAGGATCGCAACACAACCCCTCTGCCTGATGATCTCAGGCCCTCAAAAGCCTTACTAAGCTGATCCCCCATTTATTTTGCACATTCCACAAAATAGAAAAATCGCACCCTGAAGTACTGCATTGGCTATGCCCGTACTAGTCTGTACTCTAACAACCACGTTACGAAATGCTTTTGCATTGAACAGCGCGATGAAACAGACAGATACATCGTAGAGTCGCGTCACGTGGGGACGGAGATTGTTGGCAGAAAACACCTCTCAAGCTGGCAAGAGACTAACAAACTCTTGTACTTATCGATTTGATTCTGGAAATCAATAAATTGACACTCGGCGCCTCGACGTCATCTGCAGGAGCTAATCCCATACACTTTACTCCTGGGGCTATTCTAGGTTCCAGGAAGACGAGATCTGCTCCTGGGACCCTTACTCTATGTTCCTGACTGAATAAGACAATGGCTCCGGGAATACGCCAGCCAGACCCAGGAGCGATAGAGGCCCTGGGAGCATATTTTGTCACAATTATCGTACGAATACTGCATGAAAACCGGGTCTATAGATGATCCGACGGCATAGCTTAGTAACAAGACTGGACCCATAAATAGTGGGAAATAGGGGTAATGAAATACAGAGTCATTTACACCTCCAATTGGACGGATACAGTACGGGATTGCAACATTGCTGAATCAGCTCCAAACCGCTCTTGATCTTGTTATCCATATTATGTAGAAACACACCTCAAGTACTGGGCAACGACCTCATTGCTTAATTCTATTACTGGTGCATACTGCATCTCTCGGAGCCGATACTAATTTTGACGCTTCTAGCTAAGTCCGACACTCATTTGGCACAGGAGGAACGCAATTTGTCGGAAGAATATATCTGCCGGATCCGTATGGCTGGGATGACCTCAGCATTCTGAATAACGTAATTCACAACCGAGCGGCCACCACAACCGAGTGGCCACCCCACCAAAAACGCATCATTATTAATGCATCTATCTCAACCAAAACGCTAATAAATTCATTAAACTATACGCGAGATCCCTTATTACATGCAGTTCTCTTATGACCTAGGATTCCACAATCTGAGCATCTCGGTGGGGCTCTCGTACGTGGCAATGAAGGTAAAAAACCCTGGTTTACCTCACCTAATACTGGCGCTGAAATAGCCTGTATAGGCTGGGATATCAGGTCTGATGCCTCTTTCACTGTAAGGCCACCTTCGTAAAGTATCTGCCTTGTAGATCTAGCCTTTTTTTGCCTCTTCTTCTCGTTTGCAGCGCGTAAATCACTAACTTCCTTCTCAAGAATAGCTGCCGAATGCATTGTGATTTGACAGGCTTTTAAAACCTGATTTATCGCAGAATTTAGCGGGCTCGGGGGGCTTTTTGAGCGCTGTTTTAATAAGGCTTTTATCGAAGAAGCTTGTTTTTGTAATTGGACGTAATTTGAGGGCGTTTTTGGCTCCCACTCGCTCCCTCGGCTTGAGGGGGGGGTAGGCGTACGAATGCAGATATTGAGCTTTGAGATAACCCGATCAGGGTTATAAGGCACTAAACCGGTAGCACCGAAGCTATTCTTAATAGTCTCCGATTTAAACGCCGTGATTCGAGCGGTCGAGTAGGCTTCGAGGAAGTCTAGTTTATCAATATGATCGACTCCGGCACGCATTTTCGACTCAACAAGCTCGGCGTATACCTGTTTTAACACCGCAAAACAGCCAATATCGAGAGGCTGTAAAAGGTGAGATGAATGCGGAGGCATAAAAATTGCGACAATATTGTTTTCCTTGCAAATTTTGTCGAATTGTGGTGTTAAATGACTACCGTGGCCGTCAAGTATCAACAGTCTATACCTCCCCTTCGTACGTAACGAAGTAGACGGAATAAAGAGCTTTTCAAGCCACCGAAGGCCAATTGCATCAGACGTCCATCCATTCGTACTAACTTCAAGTCTCCAATCATCCGGAAGGCCATCGAACCAAGATTCGATAAAGACTTTGCCCTTAAAGATCACACACGGAGGAAGCGCCCACCCTAACGCACTTATACATTCAATTGTAGTAACCCACGCGCGATTTCCGGGTTGTAAAAGCGATCGGCGGCCATAGTATTCGTTTCTCGTGACAACTTTTGCGGTCGCAATTAAGCCCATTGCAAAACCAGTCTCGTCAAAGTTATAGATATCAGCGGAATCGATACCATATTGAAGGATAGTCTTTTGGACGAGAGAAAACCACTGAGACATAACCCTAGGATCTTCGCATTTGGCTCGCTGATAGTCGTAACGTCTCGAGAAACGAGACGTAAGTGTAGGATGCCTTTTTATAAAGTTTGAAACCCAGTTTTCGCCGACCGTAACAGGGGGTATAGATCCACGCGCCGCCAGTAGTATATTGGCTATTTCTCGTACAGTTGACGGTCGAGGGGCTGCTCCACGTGAATCCAAAGAGATAATCCATTTTTCAAGTGAATCCTCTTCAATCTCTGTCAATTTCAGACCATTGGCGCGTGATTCATCGCGAGAAACGTGGCCAGCAATACGGCGGCGGAGAGTCGTACGAGGCACATCAAATCGGTTTGCTGCCTCTTGAATTGAGACAATTTCTTGCTTCTTAATAGCCTTAATAGCTAGTAAGATCCTACCCTCTTGCTCTGTACGTTTTTGAGCAGATTGAGTACGAATTGGTGGCATAATGGGTGATTAAACAAGAAAGGTCTGATTCTGTGACGCGTTTTTTGGTGGGGTGGCCACTCGGTTGTGGTGGCCGCTCGGTTGTGAATTACGTTAAACTGACTTATACCGGCCGCATCCTCTTGCCCCTGTGCCGAAACCCTTTCTCTTCGCTCCTTCTTGCTGCGCCGGCGATACCGTCTTTTAGTTATCACGCCTGATATGCTACATATATTTCACTATGTCTGACGCTCACACGCAAGCTCACACGCTGGACGAAAGGCTTGTCGCAACGATCTCTAGTATATTTACCTCCGCTGGAGTTCCGAACACCCTTTGGGGCAATTATTTACCGACTGTATATGGCGTCCCCACTATTGTTGACGTCCGTGATTTTTTTCTTCCTTCTAAATGAAATGTTTTTGACCTAATCATAGGGTATGGCTTTTGTTATACCCGACGAATCGACGAAGATTGCCCTGACCTCGATTCGGAAAGCTGGTTTTGCCGGTTGTCTGCAAGGCCTAGGTTGCCCTGTTTTAGATGGATATCGGGGAAACCTCCCCATTGAGCATTGGCACATTGACGACGAACTGGTGATCTCAGTATACCGGAAGTCCGACGTGCTGTGGGAACTATCTTTTTCCGAAGGGAGCCTAGACATTTTGAATGCCTCAGACGAACGCCTTCCATCAGCGGCACCCGGCCGTGGCCGAGGACGCTTCCCGCCTGAATTTGGCTCTGTACAGATTCCTCACCCTGTTCGATACTGCGAGGCTGTAATCATGTTGCTATGTCGAGATAATGGCACCAGATCTGCAAATTACTGGATGGCGATTCTGACCTATATTCTGGAATACGTGGACGGGACAGTTTTATTTGATGAGAACAGCCTGGGCGAAGCCTATAAATCATTCTACCGTGCACTCAAAGAAGGAGATTTCTCAAGGATGTATCTCCTCCTAGATGATCTCCGCAGTGAATTGGCTGTAAAGCGCCGTCAGCTGCACAGAATCGAGAATTACTAGTCTTTCCTTGAAGGTCATGCTTTTTTCATAGTTTTCTCTCTCGGTGGCTCATATTTCAACAATTTTGGTTGTGTCGAACCCCTCTGTCTGAGAAAAATAGTATCCTCTTTGGTTTGAAATCACTCTTTTTCCGGTCTCTGCGTCTCGGAAGTCACAATTGAAATGAGTATGACCAAAAGCCCATATTCTCACAACCTCCTGTTTCCAGCAGAATTCGCCTGACAGATCAGACATAAAACCAGAGGAGATTTTGCTATGCCTGTGCTTCGGATCAACGACGTCTTCGCTGATTAGGGGACAATAATGAGTGAGCACAACGATTTTGCGACTAGGTTCCAAGCGCGAAATGGACTTTATCTCACAATTGAGCCATTCAAGGTCACTTTGGTGTGCTTCTTGGTGTGCTTCAACCGACCAATCACTAATATGATAGAAGTCGTTCAAGCCATAACTGACGTCATTCATCTGTGTTTGGGCTATTTGGGAAAATAAGGTGCAGCCGAGGATGCTCAGTGTTGGTGAAAGATCATAGCGTGTCTGATCGAGGAAAACAAATTGGCCCGACGTTTCGCCTCGTGTGAAAGACTCTTTGAGTTGGGACTCAAATATTTTCACCCGTAACTTTGTTTGAGTCCAATTGCTGTGATATGGTTCGTGATTGCCAAGAACAAGGAATACGATGCAGAAGGCTTCTACTTGAGTGCGAATAAACTGAAAGAAGCCCTCGTCCTTAACATATCCAATGTCGCCGATTAATGCCAGATATGGCGCTCGGGGTTTGACATGAAGAATATCGTATGCAGCTGGGGATTCCAGGTGTAGGTCAGAAATCATTTGGAATTGCGTCTCAGCCATGAGCGGTTATATGCCACACGGATTGTTTCGAAATTTGTCAAATCACCTAAAGATGAGGGGTATCCAACGCTAAATATATCTTGATTGGCGCCATTGTCATGTGACATTCAATGAGACGGATTTACAAAAACCAGGCAAGCAACAGCATTCAGAATGATAGCCAAGAGCATCCTCCTTAGGCACAAATCATTTTTAGAAAACAAGTTTTTTCTTGAATTTGGATTTGCAATACGTACAATGTCTAGCGGGCTGTCTTTTGCTGAGTTGGAGGCAGCTGCCGGGGCTGTCATTGTAATCCTCAAAACCATACCGGAATTCTCGAAACTCCCGAATCGTTATCATCGGGGGTTTAGGTCTCTGGAGATACATTCGTAACTACCGCACAACTGAGGTTCGTTCTCAAGGGCCAATCATAGACTTTGAGTAGCCGCTGATGGCCTTACTAACAGGACGTCGACTTCCTCATAACTGTCCAGAGCGCTCCCAAAGCAGTAAAAGATAAACTGCTTGCTTTGCCATCTTCTCCATTCCAACAAACAGCTCAGCTTTTTTACTACAAAGGCTCCAATGGCAAATTAATTCAGATAGATATTACTCCTGATTGGCAGGTGAGACCGTTGGTCGCAATTTTTCTTCAACAGTATGATATTAATCGTAACCTACAGTCGCCCTATGTCCCCTCTGGCGCGATACCTATATCGACTGTTCGATCGAATGCACTGCCATATATCTCGGAGCTTGATCTACTCATCTTCAAGATCAACAGCTGCGGATTACGACCCACGCCAGGGAAAAAGTTGCGTGATGCAACGGACGCCTCGGAACTTCTAGAAGATCTTAGTACCAAGGGGCCTATTGTGCTTTCGGTGTCTCAGAAGAATGTTATACTTCAATGTTTGGATGACGTGGCTCGAATGTCTGGGAGAGATAAAGCCTGGTGGATTGCGAAGCTGGCTCTGAATTAGCTCCACCTCTTTACTTCTTCAGGTCAGGGATGTGGAAGCTTAGCCGAGTGTTCATCACTGATATTCATCGCTTTATGTTAGTCTTTGTGTCTTTGGAACCAAAATGAACCAACTAGCAAGGTCTATATTCGCCGAAGAATAAGTCAGAGTAATACCAAAGTCATGGCGATTTGCGTTTGTGGCAGTTTCGTTTCCATAATACTTGTCCATTCTTAAAGCGATTGCTCTTGCAGGTCTTGCAAACGCATTGCACTCCCCAGGGTATCATCATCACTAATTGACGAAACTAAGTGAACATCGTACAGTAGTTTTCGAAATCAGTCATACCTTGCTAATATTGACGAAAGTGTTTCTTCTCTGTAGCGGACTTCACAGCACCACACCTGAAGTTCAAGGTTGATACTGTGGTCCAAGCTATTAGATGGTGATATTCGGAAGCACTGTAAGCTTGCAACGCTCGTTTATGGGCAATACCGTAAGTTGCACACGTATTCCCATCTTATGGATCAGTCTTATTGTACATTGTGCCTCCTAATACTGTTTCTGCCGTCTTTGAACTTGATACGCTTTCAACTTATTCGTCTATCTGGCTAATGGGATTCAAAGAAACACTTATATATGGCGTCACTATTCTGAGCCAGACCCTAATTTAATTACACCAGCCTTCTTTCACAATGATTTAATCAACGCCTAGTCCTGGTTCTGTGATTTGCTGTATATTTTTATATATTGAAATGGGGACAGCGCGATGGCAGTCTGGTCGAGACAGACAGGTCGACAACTGGGAACAAAACCCAACAACAAGCCAGGGAAGGGAGCTATAGGCAGATGAGGTCCTGTAGATAACCTGATGCTATATCAAAGAGCATAATACTGAAGAAATCATGAGTCCGAAATGAGTGGCATGCTTGTACGTCTCTTCCTAAAGTCTCTCTAGTTGTGAAATGACCATATCACTCTCCCATGACATTGGTGCCTGAGGAACAAGTCATGAATGTCACGCGATTCACCACTACAATATGAAGTATCTCCCCAGCTTCCAAATTTCTCGATCTTTAAAGTACGTGGGATTTGATTGGTCAACTGATGCGTCGATCAAGCTAGGCTGCCACCGTTATGATGCTCACTAGATATATTCTACCGTTGGAGATGATCGTCTTATGCGTGGTCAGCGGACATCTCATCATGACTTTGCCAGAGCCATACAGTCAAGACACCCTGAACAACTCTCCTCTCGCTGAACATGGCAGCGATCTCCCCTGCAAACTTCGCATGGATGCATTCTTGGCTCCTTCGACGGAGACAATCTATCAGATCGGCACTGAGAATACTATCAAGTTCAAAGGAAGCGCGACCCACGGTGGCGGGTCATGCCAACTGAGCCTGACCAAAGACCGTGAGCCAACCAAAGATTCTGAATGGATGGTCATCAAGTCCTATGAAGGAGGTTGTCCTACAAAGGCAGAGAGACTCGCCGGAGGCGCCACTGCCGATAATGGCCTTCACCTGGATTTTTCAATTCCCGAAGGAGTTACGCCCGGGAAATATACTTTGGCTTGGACGTGGTTCAATCGCATTGGATATCGTGAGATGTACATGAACTGTGCTCCCATCACCGTGGCTAATGGCTCGTTGCAACAGTCCAAAGACGTACAAAAGCAAACGGCTACTTTCCCATCCATGTTCGTCGCTAATATCAATGGCTGTATAACGAAAGAGAACGTGGACATTCGCTTTCCTCAGCCAGGAAGCATTGTGGAGCATGATGGCCAAATGGATCACCTTCTTCGCGAAGGTCAGCCACCATGCACCGGAACACCTACATTCGGTGCATCGGCAGTCATTCAGTCATCCATTCCTGATGTAACCGATGGTATGCTTGGAGAGACAGTATCATCTCCTGATTCATCCGCTTTGGACCGTACTTCATCTTCAATCTCCTCGTGTCGTGTTCTTCGCGGTAATTAGGAACACTGATACGTATTGAGCACTCGGGCGCAGTCGTGTATAGCCTGACGTAAAATCAAGGAAGGGAAAATACCTAATCAAACTCGGAAAAACTTCAGTGCTGTTGCTTCAAAACCATAGTGTAGTTTGAAGAATTCAGACTCAGGTTTCAGTTCATAATAGAAACAAACTTCCCCATCTTCATCACCCATATCAAACTGTTCCCGCTCCCACAGACAGTTTCATCGTGCTAGAAACCCGTCTCTTGTCCCCAGGAGTTCTTGTCCCTAGGAGTTCTCTTCTCCTGGAAGCCTCTGAACCGTTTTGGGCGCAAAGGAGCAGCTTCTACGAGCCGCCTATCCCTATGCATGGGACATCTGAAGAGTCTGCACCCCATTCCGCTGTTCAATCCTGTTTATGACTCGTGGCACCCCGTTTTTGTTGCCACAAATGCCACTTCCTAAGTACCAATAAGATATTCAATCGCAAGACCTTGCATCGATGGCGGCGTGGTATACTGTAGATCATGGAGGGCCCGATCAAGACTTGGTGGGAATGCATCGAAAGTCTAGGGCATTTCCATCTATTGGCGACTAGAAACCCTTGTTCTAACCCGAGATCGACTTCACATGGTCTGCTGTAGTAGCATTCACATAGAAGGGGTCCTAGTATCCAAGACCAGCTTCCCAGGAGCCCGACCAGTTCCTCAAATTTTTCGATGATTTCCTACCTTACAAAAAGGCATCCATATTCTCGGTTTACCCATATTGCGTGCTACAAGGTTTATGTTCTGGTGCATATAAGATATTCCAGAGCTCTCTCCATCTCAGTTTTTTATTCAAGTCACCCAGCACGCCGATTCCACACGATAAAAGCCGTAACCAGCTCCTCTTAGCTCAAACTTTCCAATGTGAGTATTTGCTGTCCCCACTTTTAGTACATGAGTTAATCCTAAGTAATTGATAGATGTTTCTCTACAGACTTCCTGATGAAATCCTTCTTTGCATAGCAGAAAGCCTGGATCAAGCCAAAGATCTGCTTGCGCTGGCCTGCGTCAATCAAACTGCGAATCATCTTTTCCTCGACTGTCTGTACAGGTTCAATGTCCGAAGCCAACGCAGCTCCGCATTGTTTTGGGGATTTTGTCAAAGCAAACTAACATTCGTCAAAATGATGTTGGACGACTACCGAGCGAACGCCAACACAACCGACAGTAGATCTCGCACACCGATCTTTTACGCCGTTCGAACCAAGAACGAGCAAATCATTCGCATACTTCTTGAAAACAAGGAAGCGGATATCAATTGGCAAGATCAACACAGACAGACTCCATTGGTATACGCCATTGAAAGGAATCTTCTGCCAACTGCATCACTTCTACTCGAATTTAATCCATATCTGATTCGAGTGGATATCAAAAAACGGTCGGCTATTTGGTACGCTATCGCTCGCTGCGATGAGAGCCTGGTGCAAGCCCTTTTGAAAAGGGGTAGCGACATTCGAACGCCAGATTACAAAGACTTCTCGCCCATCTGCCTGGCAGTGACGAAGAAACCCCCGAATATCGCCCGGCTGATACTCCTCAATTCAGATCCCGATTCAAGAAAGATCCTACTGAAGGATGTCGCTCTCAGAAACAGTCTGCTCCGTCGGGCTGTACAGGCAAGCCTCCAAGATGTCATCGCGCTACTGGTTGCCCATGGCGCAGATCCAAACTCTAGAAATAGAGATGGCCAGAGCTTGTTGCATCAAGCCACGAAAAATGGTGACAGGGAGGTGGTCCAACAACTGCTCACGTATGAAGACATATCTATCAATGCAACGGACAGACGTTCCTGCACTGCCCTTCACATCGCAGCAGAGTATGGATGCACGTCGGTAGCCAAGTGCCTGCTGGCCAAATGCGGTATAGAATCCAGCGCAAGAGACACCTACGGTCGCACTGCCTTTCACATCGCAGCAGAGTATGGCAACAAGTTGATCACAAGGCTTTTCTTAGCCTATGGTGTTGTGGATATCAATGCCCGAGATGCTAATGGAGCAACAGCACTCTGCTTGGCTGTAAAGGAAAAGCACACAGCTGCAGCCCTGCAGATTCTCGCAGAAGACCATGTAGATCTCAATGTGGCTGGTCAAAATGGCTGGACAGCTCTTCACCATGCGGTCTCAGTGGGAAGCATACCGGTAGCTTGTGTGCTTCTCAACAACGATCAGCTAGATCCGAACCTTCGTGATGATGAAGGATGGCCTCCTCTCACCCATGCTGCTTCCAATGGCGATTTACGGATGGTGGAGCTCCTTCTCGCGAGGACAAACATTCAAGTGAACGTGCATCAGGCCCCACCCCTGTTCCATGCTGCTAAACATGGTCATGTGGAAGTTGTACGCCGGTTGCTCTCCTTTGATACCATCGATATTAATCAGCAGTTTTGGAACAGCTCGCCTCTCTGCGTTGCCTCCGAGATGGGCTACCCAGAAGTTACAAAGCTACTCCTTCGGCACACAGACACCCCCGACACTAATCTCAAAACTTACTTGGGCGATACTGCACTTTCTTTGGCCGCTTACCATGGTCATTTGGTGATTATACATCTTTTACTGGAAGTAAGTGAATTGGATGTTGCTGCTGCTGATAAATTTGGAGACACGGCGTTGTGCAAAGCAGCCCGGAATGGACACGAGCAGGCTGTCAAGCGTCTGTACAGGGACACTCGGGCAAAATGTGCTATTGATGTGAAAAGGGCTGCAGCAGCAACTTCCAACTGTAGAATTGCACTGTACCTTGAAGGACACTTGGATGAGGAAGGCAACTTTTGCACTTGGCCTTGAACTACAGACTGCCCGTGATTGCTTTGTTAGATAACTGTTTATTTTGTCCGGTACAATACATCCCCTTCCAAATTAGCTCCTCGCTCCTCGTACACCATGTTTGCTTCGATTTTGCGATGACCCGTATTATGTCACACTTCAAGCCACAGCACACCCCATTCCGTGTCTTTGATGGTGAAGAATACCGGGGCTACCCAAATATTATACAGACAACACATATTCCACGTCAAACATAGTAGCTAACGTGCTCCGCGGAACTTACATATTCTAGCCTCTCAATATAAGCTTATCCTGTGGATTCTGCCGGATAAGGGCTTTATTGGTACTGTAAATTACCTCTCACGTGAATGAATTACACAAACGCATATACTGTGTAGAAGGGACTCCATATGTGGCACTATACGTTGAATCCACGGAAAAGAGCCTTCCAGCAATCAGAATGATGTATCTATTTGATAGTTCAATCACGTTGAATCCGCGAAATCCCTCGTTCAGACTAAGTTTGCTGCCCTGTATCAGTCCTCCGTCAATTGCGGAAAGGCCGAAAGAAGAGTCCTCGGGAAAGGTTTGTCGGCCCATCCTCCAGCGCATAACGTCGACTACAGATAATGTCCGGCACAGTAAGGTTTGGCGTTTTCCAATGCAACTGGGCTCGTGATACATTCAAGTGGAGGGTCCCTTGCATGCTTGTATTCTATTTTGCCATTCTCGAATACCGGTTGGAAGGAAAGGTTCCGGTAGAGCTTAAGCTGCATTTCATCCAGACGGAGGCCTGGGTGATCTGGGCTGGTGAAAATCCAGCAGTTGTTCCCAACAAAATCCTTGCCTCTATGGTGTTTCCATTCTGGCCTAGGCTTCCAGTTCTGATAGAAAATCTTCTTATCGAGGGCTGACTGAGGCGTGCACAATGGTACGTGATTTAATTCGAATTTTTTCGTACGGTGCTTTTTCCGAGTTCTTGTCAGAACGTTCAAAACCCTTCCCATGATGTTGGTCTGGTGTTTGCAAGAGAAGTTTCCACTGAAATAGTATATATCTCTCTTTCTCTTTCTGGAAGATCGCGTTGCTATCAGCTGAATACAGCGTTGTTTCAAAGAGCACATGTAGGGCGCCAAAGCAACTTATTTATGTCTTTCGGGGAGGACACATCATGCCACATTCAAGGCTGGAAAGATAAATGCTCTATCAGAGCCAAGAAGAAAAATTGTGCATTATTAGAATTCACATCATTTTCTCACATCATTTTCTTGTAAGTTCAGAATACGCAAGGCAGCAGTAGCCATCACCAGGACCTATCGCCTCAGAAAAAGGCGAGAAATAGCAGATAAACTGCGTCCCACGAAAGTTGAACTAAGCTTCTATTTCTACGGGCCACATTAAGATCTAAGGAGTGTTCAGAATGTACAATATAATTGGAGTAAGGGTTGTAGAATCGAGTACACGGACAGTTGATAGACGTGAACCCCCGGCAAGATTTTGAGGCGATAGGCACTAGCTACCGCCTATCTCCTTGTTATCGCATGGAAAGGCTACTAAAGTACATTCCAGCGTCTTGGAGTTCTTGTTTCGCTAGCTACGCGACCCACGCCATGATCCCTTGATCCAATGTTTTTTGTGCATGAACACAGGGTAAATACAGGTGAGATTGATACATAAAATGCTTTTTCCAATAGATCTGAAACATACATCGTGATCCTAGGACTCTCTTGCTCTCAGGAGCTTTTGAAATGTTCCTAGGAGGAAAATAGTAGCCTGTCAGAGATACACATGAAGCGTACTGGATGGATGGAGATGTGATCGGCGGGACCCACATGGTTCATCTGGGTTCCCCTGAACGCGAGGAAGCTACCTTTCTTTTGCTTCCTCGCGCTACGTCTTGTATCTAGAGTCAACTATAGCTTTTCTTAATATTGATTATTCATCTACGAAGCTAAGTCATCATCTACGTACAGTATACGTGAGACCCTCACATTCACCTCAAGGAATCAAAGCCACGACGCAGTCGAATTTTGCCTGAAATCCGAAGAATACTAGCGCTCTGTTGAAAGTCCGGTCATGATGATGCTGTTGTGAATCTTGTTTCTTGTGGTGTTTGTATGGGCAATATACCTCATGGTTAAATCTCGCTGGGATGAAGGTGCCAAAAGATCTATATTGAGCACATCATTTTTTTTTACATTCGTTTAAGAACTCATGAACTTCTACTATAGACAGGATGAAACTTAGATAAAATGAGGGAAACCAACGAAAAATTTATCTCAACACTGGTCATAGTTCGAAAGTTGACTCCGGTCAACGACTTTTCGAGCACCCGCTCGCGCGACTGTCGCCTGACGCTTCCGCAATCCAGAGTCCTGACGGACGGAACACTACAATTAAAAAATGAATAGCTTTCATTGCCTCAATAATAGAAGATCGAATGTTCAACAGTGAGCCAAAGTTTTTAACTGGCTCAACTTCCCTGTTTTTCAACATGACCAGCATTTTTGCTCGGCGGCCATCTCAAATAGCCCGGACGATGTCGCTGCAGATAGTTGCGGTATTAGAACCTGCCTCACTTAGGATAGGCATCGTGCCCTTCAACGTTTGCTTCCCAGCAGAGCACTTCCGCGACTGGAGCTGAGGAGCCTATAAATACGTCCTCCTTCCCCCCAGCAATTTGTTCTACAATATTCTCACTTAGCTACACAAAGTCGATAGCTACACAAAGTCGAGCAGGCTTTCGCTTTGAGGCACCAGATAAGTTTGATCCTCTGACTACTAGAAATCCACTGTACTGACATCTATAATTACATCGTGGACCGCCAAGGAAGTGCGAATGAGAATGTGATTCCCACCAAGTCCACTTTGCTACAGTACCCTTGCCAGCCAGTCAAGAAGAGGTAAGTCCCAGCACGATATTGAGTAACTTCAGCTAATCCCAAAGACGACGCGAAGCAATACTACGTGCATTCGTCCAAAGTACACCAGCCACGGAGCCCCTTCCCGTGTCTTTATGCAGACCGTGTGAGTCATGCAGTGTCCCGCCAATCAAAAAGCTAATGACGGACAGGAAACCGTGTAGCGCACCAAACTAAGTCCGAACTAACACTCCGTCAGTGCTCCGCGAGGGGTCATGGTTTGCGCACCATTTCTGGCTCTCGCACTTCAGACCAGGCAAGGTGTCCTGCATGAGATACCGCCAACCAAGATCGCAGGCTAAGAGCATGATGCATAAATTCCAGGCGTTCGTCATCCACGGTGAGGTGAGTAGAATATCGCGCCGCTTGCCGCGTCAAGTCCAATGCGCTTTGCCAAATTGTGCCAAGTTTGTGCCACAAACACAAATCACTAACATGCTAATGCCATTGTAGCAGCCCATCACACAACTGCGGAAGCTCTTGCCGCGAGAAAAGCTACTCCTGCCAAGTCTGATAAACTGCGGGCCGACGCGCTCCACTCGGTCTCCACCCCACGGCCTTCGCACCCTGCACGACGGAGTGTCTCTACAGGGAGTCCTCCAATCCTAAAACAGATAGGTTCGTCGTCCGTGTTTTCCGTCTTATGAACCTGCCCTACGCACCACTGTGGCTTTCTCGCACAACCGGAGGGTCACGAACCTGGATACGACACGGTATATTGATAACAGCGATATAGAAGAGACATGGTGGTCTCGCTGGTAGGCTGGTATGACGACGATCCTAATTATCAGATCATCTAAAGCATGCTATCGATAACCGGGGTCTTCTTAAACAATGTAAAGTACAATACCCCGTCCAACTGAATCAACACTGACTGAGTCTGATCTCTTTACAGGCAACCCTCGGATTCCCATGACTCGGATGCGAAGCGAGGAAATTGCGTATCTGTTCGGCCTTGCCGGTACCATTACATGGCCTGTGTCTTCTACAGGACCAATGCTGGCACAAACGAGTCGCTACCTTGACCTTCGAGTCTATTGATTCTTCGGATCAGTTGGTATGCTTGTCTGATCAAGACCCGACGGAGTGCATAGCAGTCTTTCTCTCGGAATTTGAAGACCTACAGGGGATAGATGATAGCTTTGTGGCGTGGGTATTTGCTCCGCCTGATGGTATGGAAATCTACTACAGTAGATACTATCTCCATGCCCCCGACTAAACTCCGTGATCGAGACGAGGCGATACTTAGACCTCAAGGAGATGATGCAGGAAAAATACTTGCACATTCAGCGAGGCATACGGTGATCACCTCCACCTTGATGGGCCCTACAAATCGTCCGTGGAACCGAAGGCATACGAGCGTGGAGCCCAAATGCGGGTTCAGTCACGCTCCGTCGAAGCATGGAAATCGGAATATCCGACCCTCAAGTTCGAGAGGTAGAGTATATGACTGCTCATCCCGTTCGGAAAGCTCAGATTTTGCTCTATGTAGCGGCCATGAAATTCTCAGGGCTGTGGGGACAGACCCCCAGACCCCGTTCTTCGTGAGAGGCGTTGCAGCGAATTTTCTGGTTCAGCTTTAACGCGCCCTCGAGCCGGGGGGCGGGGTCCCCCAGAGACCCCCTTTATGGGGGTCGGCGAGGCAATTTCCAATTGCCGGGGGTGCCCCCCAAGGCGACGGGCAAGACTTCTATCGCACCCCTTTGATGGTCACATGTCTCCAATTTCTCTCCCTCGGCTAATCTAGAAGCCATGTCAGGTTTTCTGAGGGTTACGTGGCTTCTAGAAGCAGCTTCATTGCCCCCAGACAAGTTTCAGAGGCTTCCGGGAATATCACATACATGAAGGATACAGGACGAATGGAGATATGATCTGAGAGGGACCCACATGGTTTATATGGGTTCCCCTTAACGCAAGAAATCTACTTTCTTTTGCTCCCTCGCGCTACGTGTTGTATCGATAGTCAATTTTAGCCACCTTCAATATTTATGTTCATCTGAGAGACGCTGTCTTCATCTACGGATGCGTGGGACCATCACAGACCTGTAGTTGACTTTGTGAGCTTGCGTCCGACTCCTGCGACCTTAGAAAATCCATGGAAACAAGCCTTCGTCAGGGTGGTGTCGTCTGGGTGTGTTGACCCCAATTAGTGCGCCAGAAATATGGCTTTTTTTAACAAAAAAAAAGCGTTCGGACCCTGTTGTTCTCAGATACCAAGTCATACTTCAGATCTAGAATCGCTATGCGGAATCCGGCGAGGTTGTGCAGCGGCGGTCTGGTGAAAATTGCGGCTTATTTCGCGCTATGTAAAAAACAACCCTTCGGATTCGCTCACATCAAAACGAGGAAATTTCAAAGCCATACTGTCAGGGAACTCGAGGGTTGGCTAGAGATTAGCCTGCGTTCTCTGCCTCCAGTCCGGAAAAAGACTTACAACATTTAATTAGTCACGTGCACCAATTGGGCCGTAATGGCCCCGCATCTGCTTCTGCCCCTCAGTCGCTTTACGCTTTGCGAAAAATCATTTCACTACTCGAGGAGATAACAAAATTTTCAAAAAGGTAGCTAAAAAAGTTTCGAAATACTGTTTTTAGTTCTTTTTTCTTACTTTGCAGATCACTTTTGGCCCCCAAAATAACCTCCGCCCAACATGACGACCGAACCTCTTCCACGACATGCCGAGGACCTCCGAAGGGAAATTAAGTCAATGATACCAGAAGCTTGCGCCATCAAAGAAGATCAGCTGCAGTTCGCTACGGTTTCAAGTGAGGATTCAGAGGGAAACAAAGAATATGTCGGGGAGCTACTTGGGAAAAAGGTTTCCGCTTTGGTTCAGCAACTGCCGATAGGTGCTGTAAGTAGATGGAATAGAGACATCTGAAAATCACTGACCATGGCCAGGGATGGGGATGGACTCTCGTCTATTTTCGAAAGTCGCGGGGGGTAATGAATGTATTGAAGGATATGTACTTGATTCCGCTTTCTGGCGGCGCAACGATCACCCCAGGCGGCTCGCTTGAAGAAGGGACATATACACATATCAAGGACGAGCCTGTGTTAAGCTCAGACACGGCAGTAATATTTATTGCGCGTCCTTAAAATCTAGCTTCTGTACAAAATTCGCAATGGATGATTCATGCCCTCGCTCACTCATGCAAAATAGACCTTGAGGCAATATATGTAATAATAAGTGGGAGAACACCAATTTATCTTGACTTTATGCTGAACATTCCAGTACCCGAGTGAGCTGGGCACTGCTTGATAGAGGCCTAGGCTCATGTGGGTTTGAAAATTCAAGGGAACCAAGCTGATCAGGCGAGCGTGAATCAATAGCCGATAGTTCGTTCTGAATACCAGGTGTGACTTGCTGCGTATGAGAGGATGACTGGTGAAACTGGCTCGACTGCGCAGAAAATGGCGGGTCTAAGACCGGCTGCACATCTAAAGGAGAGCTGGGCGATTGCCCAGTAAAGCGAGAATCGTGGAGGCCAACGATTTGTAGGTTGAAATGCGAATCACATAGGGGATCGATTGGTTGTGGGTTGTAATGAGGATCGTAGACGAAGTCAATCGGTTGCATGTTGAAACGCGGATCGTACAGTGGCTCAATCGGTTGTATATTGAAACGCGGATCGTACAGGGGCTCAATCGGTTGTATGTTGAAACGCGGATCGTATAGGGGTTCAATGGGCTGTATGTTGAATCGAGGATCGTAAAGAAGGTCGATCGGTTGAATATTGAAGCGGGGATCGTAGAGGGGTTCGATAAATTGTACATTTAAGCGGGGCGCATTAACGTCAGTTTCTGCCTGTGAGCCAAGCCCAGACTGGCCAGTAACGTTCCTTGGTTGTTCATCTAGCGAAAATCCAAGTTCCTCGGCGCTAGTATACGTCTCACCTGGCTGGTTGGTAGTGCTGGGACGAAAACGATGACTGTATGTGTCTGAGCCAGGGGATGATATATCCACTGCGTTTGACAAAGAGCCAGTAGTTAGGGTTTCAGAGAATGATTGTTCAGATGAATCATTTATTGGCGGAGAATTAGGAGCCGGAGTGATCTGATTTGTTGTTGGTTGGCAAGGAGATTGGTATTGGTTGGCTGTACCATCGACATGAGTAATGAAAGCCGAATTTGCCAAAGAGTCACTAAAATATGGATCTGCCCTCGCAAGCACCCCTGCCGTATTATAACGAGGAGCTTTGGCTCGGCTTCCATGCACGTTCGCTGATGATGATGGCGCTGATGTGTGTAATTGGGCGGCGTTCAATGCACCCCCAGCATCTGAGATCCCTGGGCTTACGCCCCGAAGAGAAGCTAGCACATCTGACTCCCTTGAGTTATCCATTTCGTGGGATGATCTCAAAGTGTGTTCCGGACTATCAGGCGGGTGACTCATACTCCTATTATTACTCAAGAGGGGTGAAAGTAAGCTGCCGAGTCGCTGTTCCTCCGAAAGTGTACAAGGATCAACGAATTCTAAGGCAACATTGGTCAGATTAGTCAAAGGTTAGTGAACGAAACATTGAGACCTACTATCGTAATGTGTCTGCAGACGATCAAACCATACTGAAGTCTCTTGAATGATATCTGCGATGGATACCGGGGGACTGCCGTCCGTCGCTGGGCCACCCTCTGAGAGTGACGAATCAATTGAAGTCGAGCCAAGCAGAAGATCCAGAAACTCTGGAATTTCGCTGTAATTTAGAGACCTAAACGGCCGGACAGCGAGAGCTGTAAAGGCAGATATTCCCGATGCCGTTGTAGAGTACCCTTCTCCTTCAAGCCTTTTTTTGAGCATTCGTTCCACTACCAACTGCCTCATGCCCGCTTGGACGGCTCTGGTGGCAAAACTTTTGTCCTCCTCCTGTATAGCCAATTCATCAGTCACATAGGAGGAAATGGTTCCCTGTCGTCCTCGGTTGACCTTTTTCTTCCTCATACAAGAAGCAATCTCGCACATATTTTCAACATCCAAAAAGCCGGCCCTCTCTCCTTGTAGTGCTAGCGAGCGCTGAGCAAGACCCCTCACCATCTTAGATTTGTTCTTGGCCTTGGGATCCCCCTCAACCCTGTGAATATCGGCAAGCCTCCTATCGAGAACAAATGGACGTTTCAACCTCAAGACATGTTCTGGTTGAAGTTTGATAGACTTTATTGTCCAATGTGATGTTTTGTTCAAGGCATCCAGAAGCTTCATCGCACGCGTTGGGACCGTTTTATCAACATTTTCTCTCGAGGTTGGCTGCTCAACAGAAGTGACCTCGTGGATAATTTCATGACTAGCAGATACGTCAACTATTGTTGCGAAAGTTGGAAGGTAGATGAATCTCACTGTGGGGAACAGACGTCTTTCAGACGCGCTTCGATTTCTCGAAAAGTCGCAACGGCTTCATTTATATGGTCACGTAAATCTTCACTTGGTGCATTGCGAAGTGTTTCAAGAGCCAAGGATATATTCATTATGCTCGAGAGTAGTGTAAGGTAGCCATCGCGTCTTCGATGGAAAAGGATTTTCTATCAAGCCTAGCTCCCGTACTGCAATGTACACGCAACGGCTAATTGCTGAGAACTCCCGCATCTCGCGCGTATTTCAGGAGGGGAACCTTGTCCAACCCCTATTGTATCCCTGCTCTTAGCAAAGTCTACGCCCAGCAGCGAATGGAACGACGACAAACGCCTTGTGATGCAGCAAGGGGGCAATGAGGTGGAGATCCAATCAATTCTCTTAGCGGTATTTAGGAACTTTTCACGCCCCACTCGACCAGCAGGCGAAGATTAGAATTATTAAAACAGCTTTTGCCGCTGACGCAGCTCTTTTCTCAATCCAAGTCTATTTGAAGAAACGGAAGGCGAACAGCAAAGCGAGCCAAATACTAACTAACTAGGGAATGAACAAATAGGTGATACTTGTCGCAGTTAGCGGTACGATGGGTCGGATTTTATGCCCAATTTTCTTGTATACCAGCTATACTGTACAGTATGCTTCAGGGATGCTAATCTGCTTGTTTCTGGATTTTCATGTCTATAGAAGAAAGATCGATCCTCTCATATTCACCAAATGTACCTATGAAACATTGACATCACTCAACCGGCGGTAGTAACCTGGAAGCGAGTTAACCACGGCAACTATAATGTCCTAGGAAGCGACGGCGTGAAACGCTCTATTATTGGTCATCGGACGAGGAAGAAAGCAAAAACGTGCCCTTCAACACTAAACATCTCGCCCCATATCATGGCCGTATGGGTGGACTGAATTGCTAAGCCATCGAAAACCCCCTACTCCGTAAAAATTCCAAACGTTTCTCGAACAATAGTTGAGGCCCATATGCATCGATATACAGAAAGATCCCATTGCTAGAACTAACGTATGCCTTATATAGATTTGCGGGATGTACTAAGCATCCGAATATCGAAACCTTGGATATCATAGAAGTGCGCAAGTCGATCATGTCTCGGTTTCCAGTGCAAGCTCTATTAGCTCGACCTGAACCAAAAGTGCTCAAGCGCCTGCCTTGCGGTGATCCTCTTCGTAGGGTCCAAGTTCGTCATCTTACACACCAGGTCCCTGAGATCTGCTTCCACATAATTCCAAGACTCGAAAGGCTGTCTTGGATTGTCTGGTGTAAATTTACCAGCAATCGAGATCAAGCGCTCATGGAAGGGATTGTCTTCCCCTATGTGCTCCAGGAAACCATTGAGGCCTTGTTCATCCGCAAAATAGGACACGTGTCTTTCAAGAATGTAGCGCCAAGAGTCCTCTGCTCTGAGCTGGGAATCGCTTACGCGAAACACCATCTCATTGAGCATAACATATATCATCTAGAGACACAATTAGGAATATGGAGGTAACTGGAACTTAGTACAAAGGACAGACGTACCACGATCCCGAAAGAGAAAATATCGGACGCTTGATTCTGTCTAGATCGGCACCAACTTTCAGGGCTCCTCCACATGGCATTGCCACAAAGAGGACCTCTCAGCCATTTGCCTGATGGTACGATGACCGTATCCTCAAGATCTGATATTTGAACGTTTTTAACGATCACTTGACCGTCAGTGTTCTCGTCATAGTCAACCAAGATATTGTTGGGCTTTATGTCTATGAAATTGTTAGTAATGTGAGTGACTCAGTCTTGAGGATGTCGAAGCTTTCCATTGTGAAGAACTCCCCGATCGTGCATGAAAGCCAGCCCATGTAAAGCCAACTGGAGGATGTGCATCCTTGTTTTCCGATCGAGTGACTTTTGGCTCAAACGAAGTAAGTCTCCGGCAAGGAATGGGTAGACAAACAAATCGAGGTTCGGGACAGTGTCGATTACTGCTCGCACGTTGCGACACGAGGCTAATCCTTTCTGCAAGTTCAATTGATAGTCAAACTCCCCCGGTATCATATTTTTCACAATGAAATTTTGCTCATCTGCTCTTTCCATCATCCAAATTGGTCAGCTGGATGCCGACGGGTAAGATTACATTTAAGCGGCACCTACCGCACACGATACACGCATAGCAGGGGAGTTCTGTGATCAGCGAGAACTTCTTCAATCACAAATATCCGTCCAGAGTCACTCTTCAGAATTGTGCCCAACGGAAGAGGCTCTTGACGTAGGTGCAAAGTGTTAGCCATCTGAGAAGATAGCTTAGAAAAAGGATGTCGACCAATCAAGAGACCGTGAGACGGTGGTCGCAGAACGGTAAATGAATTTTTTGGCTGTATTGGAACAAACGAAGAAACTCTCCGAGGTAATATTCGAGAAAGCAGCATGATTCGTGGCAAAGAAAATGAAGTCTGGTTATGCGACATTAATATTGGGAAAACCACGTGACGAGAGATATAGTCACGTGCTCGATCAAGCGTTTCCTACCCGAGGCCCACGGGATGTGCTTACCACAGAACCAATTCCGGCATTGGTTCCCAAGTAGGCTCAACAACACAGCCATTTGCTTCGCGATTTTCGCAAATATTTGTCCTCAGAGACCAGGGTATTGTCCTACTCAAGGAATTAAATGAATCGTAAAAGCTTGTTTTGCATCATGAAGCACGATATTATCGCGCTTCGCCCGATTTTTTGATACATGTTAATATGATATTTAAAATGCCAATATTAATTCCAAAACGCTATAAAGAACACAGTCCGCCGGTCGAGAACTAGCTGAGTATTCAACGATCAGATTTGCAGAAACCTTGAGGTGGACAAATCTCTTCTTCAGCTGGCAAACATGGCACCCAATGCTAAAGTTCTCTCGACTAAGCTTATCTCTGTCCTTTCCATCGGTGCACGAATGGTGAAAGTCGGATATGTGGATAAAACCGATGCATGGAACAGAGTATATCTCAGCCCAGAAATTCAAGAGAAGTTCAAGGCAACTTCTGCGAAGGAACTGTCATCGCTTAAACCGGAGACGGATATGGTTGCTCTTCAGTAAGTCCCTCCTATACGGAAATTGTCTTTCACATCTAACAACGTGCTGTAGAGAGACCCCTCATGCGAGTGAATCTGACAATCGCACCCATTTTACTGCGGTGGAGATCGATGGAAAGGGATCCGTCATAGCAAAAAGGCATTTTGCCGTGGAATGATCTAACGAACAACAATATGCAATTTTATTGGCATCATGATCATGGCCTAGGATGCAGAGTATCTTATATATGTCTCTCACGATATCCTGGCCTACAGACGAAATAATCTGTCATGTCATGTCTAAGTGCGGTCGAAATGCTTGTCATCCTCACGGAAGTCTTTTCTATTTAGTTGAAGGAGAGAAATTCGTTTTCATATATTCATCTTCATCATTAATCCAAATTGACGGGTAGTCTGTGGGGAAAGATAATGACATACGACAGTAGCCGTATGGTAAGTTATGTCTTATGCAATATGTAACTAGTTACCCGCCTTTGGTTGCTAATCCATGATAAAACGGGCCCAGTGAATAGTGGATACATGAGGCAGAAAATGAACATTCTGGGTGAGTGCCTACGGAAAATTGTCCATCCCATCACAACGAGCAAACAATTCTGTATGTATCATATATTAACGGGTCTGGGTACCGGCTGCTAAAGTTTTGGCCCGGCAATGAATTTGTGCGCTACTGGTTTGTCTTTCGCACAAAAAATCTATACTTAGTATACGCGTAGTCCACAACCACAAAGGTGACACACCGGCGGGTTGAGAAAAGCTCCTTGCATTTTGTATCCGCAGACCACTGAATGTGATGACCAGTTGGACTAAGAAGCTTAAGAACCAGGTGCTTGCCGCCGAAATCTGTGGCGAACATACAATAATTATTTCTCCTCTCCCAAGCTTATTTCATCACTATCTCAGAAAAGCACTATGGCCTTTTCCATCATCCCTGTGGAAGATATCGATATCCTTTTTGCAGATCTTCAAGCAAAGCAACCCGAGATTGAGCGTTTTTCTGCCAGTACTCTAATTTTCTTTTGTGACCCCCACGAACCACACACCTCATACGTGCTTCTCTGTCAACGGGCACTGCTCGGCAAAGATGAAAACGGCAATTACAAGAAGAACTCATGGCCCTTCTCCTGGGAGCCACCTGGAGGGTCTCGAGAGAACTTCGATAAATCTATTTTGAGCACCGCTATACGTGAGACGGAAGAAGAAGTCAACTTGCATGGCTCGCGAATTTCTCGTCATGTCTACAGGGATTCGTGGATACACAAGGGAGTTCAGATGGCAAGATACACATGTCCTCTGGAAGTTCATGAGCCACTCAAGCTCCAACGAACATGGTGCAACAGACAGCAGCAGCCCGTCGGTAGGAATGAAGGACCCATACGGTTAAGGGAAGATGAACATCTTGATTACTGCTGGGTTACGGAAGCACAAATCCGTGGTTCACCGCTCTACGACGAAACGAATCCTCAGCATCAAAAAGGACTTGTTATGCTTGAAAGCAAGAAGGAGATGATCCTCGATGCTTTTTTACGGCTGAGGAATTCTCAATTTGATATGACGTACGCTTTGTCAGTGGATTGATAGTGGAATATTACCTTTCGGGCGACTCTTCTGAGATTGATTGCTTGAGGCCACACTCAGTCTTAAATATGTCCCCCTTGGACAGATAACTCACTTATAGCGACCTGTATAAAGCGACGGCTTAGAAGAGAATGGTCCGGGTAGCGATTATGATGTTGACTATTATTGGGATATAGAGAGACTAAGAGATCCATGCGACATTTTTACCGTGCCAAAGACAATGCGTGTCCTTCTTGAGCCTGCCCCAACCTACGAATATAGAATACGACACTGGAACATCTATCTTGGGCTTTTTCGTTTCTGTATTGATTCCGTTCGAATTGATTTTCCTACCTCAACTATACTACTCTTCGCACAATGCGCCGCACCTTCTTCATATTAGAATTTAATCATGCAGCGGGTCTTGGCTCTCAACTTGTACATTGACAGACTGTTCACCGAGAATCATGCACATTGGTAAACTTGTCTGTAGGCCCCAAACCAGTTAAATATGGACCAATCCAAACAAGGGGAAAGCGACTAGCACCAGAACTATTTTTAGACTATAATAGTTTGTACACCGTAAATGTACACAATGGCTAGTAATTTGTCTTTAGTCGCAAGGAGTTAAATTTACAACTCAAGCCCACAGCAAGCCACAGCAAGCAAGCAGGGCCATACAGCCAAATATTGAGGCTTGATTACCATATAAACCTTCCTCGAGCACATTCAACTTTACGCTGCTCTATCTTTACTGGGAGCCACTGGAAGTGCCAATACTAACCATGATTCGTTCTGACCAAGATCAATTCAATACAGGGTATGTCCATCTCATTGACCACTGATCTGAAACCAGGCTAAGATTTGCAGACGCGGTGCATACGATACAACAGGGGTCAAGAAACCGGGTGTCCCACCTCCACCGCCAAAGTAAAGATGACGTTTCCGCCTCCATTCGGGATATGATATAAATAATAGCTGCCCAGAATACTGATTCTATGCCATTGTACACAACGAAAAGATACACAACAGATCGTCAACAGATTGTCGGTGTTCATCTCCACTCGGAATACCAACCCCTTCAGAGATTCTTGCTTTCCCACCTAAAATGTCCGAACAACCTGATGAGGCACTTCATACTCTCCTTGATACCTTTGTCCCAGGGCTTTCATGGCTTATACGGCTCATCTCGACCGCTCTGGGTGTTCACCTGTTGTCTTCTGTTCTGCCGTTGGTTGCCCTTCCGATCATTTTGACGTTCTTGCTGCCGTCACTTTCGAGGGCTCTGGAACCCATCATTTCACTATTTGTCGCCTCCGCGGAAATCAAACACCGGAATAATCTATACCCTCAAGTTATGAGATGGACATCTAGTGTCAGATTTCACAGCTGCTCAAGCTCCGTTGTTGTTGGGATTACGGAGGCATTCGGATTTCTTTGGGATTCTAATGATGACTCTCTAGACTTTGTGGAAACCGAGAGCCCAGCCTACCGGGGAAAGATAGAAAAGATTCGCATCACTCCTGGACAAGAGCGTTTTCACTTCTTTCGGTATCAAAACTGCTGGTTTGCTTTCTACCGCGACCCGCACCGGAAGGCTCTGGACTCCTTCTCGAGAAATGCCGAGGATATCACATTTTATTACATGGCCTGGAACCAGAAAATTCTGGATGATCTTCTGGTGGATATCCAAAAATACAATGTTGACGGCCGCCTTGGTCAATTGGCCGTGTTCTGTGCACATCAAAATAAGCGGGATGTGGGCTGGCAGAAGATGTGCGACGAGATTCCTCGCAGCCTAGACAGCCTAGCGCAGGATGGAGAGATGAAGCGAGAGATGATTGCCGATGTCGAAAGATTCCTCAGCAAAGACGTTATTGAGTTTTATCGGAAACTTGGCATCCCACATCGACGAGGCTATCTGTTTCATGGCCCACCGGGGACTGGTAAAAGCAGCTGCTGCAAGGTGATTGCCACGCACTTTGAGCTTCCAATGTATATAATCAACCTCGCAACCGTTGATGATTTTGGTCTACAAGAGTTGTTCCGCACACTACCGGCTCTTCCTGCACGCTGTATGGTGGTACTGGAAGATATAGACACAGCCGGGATCGATCAGCGTGGCAATACTGTGAATGAAGAAAAGGATACATCTCGTCCGAAAGGAATCACGTTGGCAACTGTTCTTAATGCGTTGGATGGCATTGGAGCCCACAGCGGCCACATACTCGTTGCCACCACGAATGCCGAGGCAAGCCTTGACTCGGCTCTGACTCGACCTGGACGTTTAGACAAGCAATTTGAGTTCCGAAATCCCGATGCATCGACAATACACGACTACTTCTCTTTCTTTTTCGGTAATCGTGATGCCAATGCAACGTCCCCAAATACAAAGCTTGATCTGCTGGCCAGTCAATTCTCCGACGCCGTTTCTCTTTTGGCCTTGTCACCTGCTGCGCTGCAGGAGTATTTCTTGCAGTGCAATAAAGACCCGGAGCTTGCAGTCAAAAATGCGGCAAAATTAGAAACCACCGATCTAAAATCGGCTGGTCCTTAATTTTACGGGCGACAATGAAACTTGAGGTCGGCTTACGTCTAATGGTGGAGATCTCATTGGGCTACACATAAATTTCTTTGATATTTGCATTCGAGAACTTGAAATTCAATCTTAGTGACGTGAAACTAGCAAAAGGTTCGAAGGTCTGAAGATCATATTTTTGGTTAGAATTATTGGCCTAACACGGAAGTCACAATTTCATGCAGAGAGAATAGACTGATCCTGTTAGAAACAATGAACTAAATTAAATCCAAATTCAAAACGAAATTTAAATAATTCACGTTGTGGGAACATAGACTCCGCGTCGGTGATCAGGATCCGCGGGACTTTACTCGTTTTCCGATAAGCCGTTTTCCATAGTCGATTGCTTCATCTTTAAACTCTCTAAATTCCGGTCCCTAAACAGCAATACTCAGTGAAAATAAAGCAACAGCTATGCTCGCCAAATATGCTGTAAGGTTGTATGATGTTGCACTAGAGATATCCTTATCACAATCCATGTGATACCGGCCTAGATCTTTCATTGCAGGCAAAGGCGATTCGATATTGTCTCAGATCCACGAATGGATATCTAGCGGCGCGTGGTGCGGCATGATGAGAAAGCTGCCAATTGTGGTTTTATATACCGTACTATGACTCCAAGGATATGACCACCTTCCCTTCTCTGGAGAAGACAACATTCCAAAATATTTACTAGCGTCTGACTTGAATTTTTTGAGGCTCAAAATGGAGGTGACTCTCTCCGCAACAATTACCTACCTGATGGTCTTGAAGTTAGAAGTGAGCATCACTTTCTGTCCCGGATAAGGTTACTAACACTTGACCAGCCCTGGGATCATTTCCACATTCGAGAACAAGACGAAACAGGGGTCATGATAGGAGCAGCAGGCAGCAAGCTCCGGCTCTCCCTCGACGAGATGAAAAGCTCCATGTTTGGGTGCGCATTTCTTCTCGATCGTGGAGGATACTTTTGGTGTATCGTGTGTCATACATTGCGGCATTGGAGAGATCCCGAATGGAAGCCACTCTCCGGAACTGATGGCTTGCGGGTCGGTAGCAGAACTCAAAGAGGACTACTGTACCTATGTCCTGTGTTATCTGGTAACACGTCCACTTCGGTTCCATTTTCTGTGCTGAAGATGACGACACCTGGTCGAGTAATGACTTGGCAAGCTGAGCATCCGGACAGCGAGTATACGCTACAGGTCAAGGCTGAGCTACTGTGCCAACTTTGCAAAGCAGCTTGGCTTGGAAATTGGAAAAGATGTCGGCGCCTGATTCTCAGCTTCACTATTGGTTGCTCACGGCTTTTGTTGATTGTCGTAGTCATGACCAAGGGACTGGCAAATGCGATTTGGGAACGGCTATCCAGGGATTCCTTTGAGCCTCTCGAGTGATTCTATGCATTTAATTATCTTCTTTCTTCGACCGGGTACGAGATGCGGGCTGGAGGTTGTCCATCAATGTAACACAATAGTATTGTTTTATTTCCTGCTTCAAATTGATGAAAAGAATTTGAGAGAGTGATCGAGACGTGACTCCATCAGAACAGCTCTTGGCATATTTTCACTTTGCAGGAGGCTTAGCTACCAAGAAATTACCTGTTTCTGCCAGAAAAACCTGATACTAACAGAACATGTTGCCCATTTCGACAGAAACCGTGGACATACCCATGGCCAGAATTTGTCTTTTCTGGAAGATTGATTAATGAATATTCCGAATTGAAACAGCGGAGAGGCTATGACTGAAGTCAAGATGAGCCCTGCCACTAAGATAAGCCTCAGTGCCGTCCCCTTCCGTGAAACATATATTTGCTGTGCCCACACAACTGTCATAGACTTCAGTTTCTTTCTTCATGTTCCTGCTCTAAAGAGTTGACCTAGCAATCGCAGACCAGAATGAAAGCTCGTACTCATAGAGCGTGTCGATACTGTCAGGTCAGAAAAAAACGCTGCATTGGGGGGCGTCCTTGTCAAAATTACGTTGAAGATGGTAGAGAGACCTGTGAGTTTGGCCTCACTGAGATTGGTGGAAAGCGAGATGTACTTCAACTTCAGAAGATGCAGCGGTTCTCAAGGCGCAGATCGGCCTGCTTGCGGTGCCGCAGAAAAAAAGCTCGTTGTACTGGCAAGGGATCTCCGTGTGGAACATGTACCGCAAGCGGGCTTGGAAGCACGTGTGAGTTTCCAAAGACAGAAACACGCGCCGACCACATGGCAACTCCAAATCATTGCAATATCACCACCAATTCACCTCGACAGGACGTTCTAGGTACGGATCAGATCCAACGGCCTGAAAGATCTGTCCGTGAAGAATGCGATATTGAGTCGATATCCTTCATCTCCACATTTGCTGCACTTGACAGAAGTCCCGCAGGCCACGACGAGTCACTGGAAGATGCTACAATCAGTCCTCAGGCTAGTAGCCTGACTGCAATCTCGGAGCTGAGTGAATCCTCAAGCCTGGATTTGAGCAGCTTCGAAAATGCTGCTGACTCATCTTCACCGAAAGACCGCCCTTCATATGAGCAGCTATTCGATGTCCTCCCAGGTCGTGAGATGATTGACCACTTGATAAAAACATATTTTGCCTCTATTTCCACGGTAGGGTCAATCCATCAATAATGCCATGACATGTCCACTAACAACAACCTAGCTATTTGGCGTCATTGACGCCACCGCCTTTGGAGCTGAGTATACGCTTTTCTTGCGGGACCGTTATTCAATGAATAGCTCCTGGTTAGCATTGCTTTTCGCAATCCTGGCCCTCGCGTGCCGTGCAGAAGAAGATCCCACAAAAGGCGGTTTCCCAGACGCTGCGTCGACTTGGTATGAAGAAACCGCCTGGAAATGTCTATCAGTCAACGGCTCACCATCTCATTCACCGCTGAGTACTTTGAAGGCAATGTTACTCATCATCTACGGTCGCACACACCGTGGAGAGAATGTTCTCAGTCAACTGCGAATGGCTTATCGGATGGCAATTTCCACCAAAAGTCACTTCGATACTGCTCAGTGTGTTTCAAATCCCTCAGTCTGCAAAGAGTTTCGGGCTATTTTGCTTGGATTGAAAACTCTCTTTATCATCAACGCCCAAATGCATGACTACTACCGCAACCCGGATCTCACACAAGAATTGCAGTTACTACTTGATACCGCCATAGAGACTTCTGAATTGACTGCCGTGGAAGTGTTATCTCCCATGCAGATGACGTTCACGAACTTGTACTTTCAGCTTTTGAAGATATCAGAAACGATATGTTCGACAACAGAACTTGGTTGGAGGTCGGATTGGAGCGTCTCTACACTTGAAACTGAGATATCACGCATGGAGGATTGCTGCAGCAAGCTCTCCATCGAGTCGAATGGGGCTGTTTGGCAGTTGACTTCTACCCACCCAATCTTCGGGATACTGCAGTGCTATCTCAACTATGTGGTTCATCTTCTCTTTTTGCCTGATCTTGAGAAATACCTAGAAGGGGATATTGCAGTCGATACAAAGTTATCTGCCTTCAAGTGTATTGCGTTCGCAAAGGCCTCGTTGCGAACTTTCAATCACCTGGCAGAAAACATGGAGCCCAGTACTTATGGTTGGTATATTCGAGGGCTCGGAAGCTACTATGCCGAGCAGTCTGCATATTCTCTCGCCAGAGGTGCCGAAGAACTTGAAGGACAAGAAGATGCCGAGAACTGCCGTTCTTTAGTGCAGCGTACGTTGCAGATATTTTCTACATTATCAGGCCGCAGCATCTTCTCTGCGCGAGGAGCTTCTAACCTTCAGCATCCATTAATGCCCCCCGGACCCCAAGGCTATTGCTCAGGTGTTGTTATGTGAGTTTGCTCTAGGGTTAGTGTGGACAGCTTTGTAGGTAATATGTGCCTTTCGCGGTTTTCTCTGTATTGGAAGGCACATCCTTCGTTTCGTGGCTTGGGCCATCAGTTTGTGGAGCTGGAATTTCTTTTTTGTATCATATACGCCATCATTACACATGCTTGCAATTAATATCCTTTCAGCTGAAATTCCACACAGAACTCCACAAATGAGGTTTCAGAACTGTAGCTTCCGTAAAGAAGAATTGAATTACTCGCACCGTTTGGGCCGCCCCGAAGCTCTGCCTATGATCGGATAGGTGATTCTTCCGATGGATAACGATTCGATCATTCGACGGAAGGAAATTGATCGTTGTATGCATGTATTACAGCTACGTCCTCCCAAAGAGCTTAATCACAGCCGCCACTATGTCTGAAAGATCAGTTGGGCAGTATAAAACACCATTTGCCTCCCGGATTAAGCACGGTAGTCTATTTTCTCCGTTCCATTCTTCGAGGACAAAAACAAGCCCAGTCATCTAGAACATCGAAACTAGCCCTCATTTGGTTAGTCTCTCTTTCACCGCAGATATGACATTCAATCAAAGCATGTCATTCGACAACAGCATTCGACCTTCGGTCATGGAGATGATGGGATATACAAACTTGGAAGCACTCGCGCCGCCCCATGAAACGGTCACCGAGGTGGTAACATCTCTCCGGTCGCGACCAAATGTAGTGTCAGGGCCCACTACGTATGGAAGAGGGGATAGAAAAGCATGCAACAGCTTTCTGAAATTCGGAATCCAAGATGGTGATGTATGTTCTTCAGTTTAGTACAAGTTGTTCCACGCTCAATATAGTTGCAGTTCACTAGAAAGGTCGAAGAAGCGATCGGCAGGCATCCCTTCCCTCTCCACCAAGGCCCGGTCATCGTCCAATCGTCCAACCTTCCAAGCAACTGGAATATCCATGCCGCCCACCCGTGCCAAAAGGGAGTATCCATGTTTCGAAGCGTCTCGGGCAATCTGGAGCGTGGTGTGACAACTCTAAAGCTCTATCCGCTCTCCCACAACGTGTCAAGCACCGAATTTGCACAGGAACGAGGAACACCGCAAACGTTTGATTTGAAATCGACTGACGTACTTTTTGTTCGAGGCGCGATCAAGATGGAGATTTCGGTGCCGGCTGGAGGGTTTTTCGTATGGCAAGGATTCTCTAAAAATCCGTGGGGAAAAGATCCAGCAGCATGTGAGGCGCCCGCTTTCATGAAGATCTAGTGCACATCATTGCAAGCTTGGATCAGCGTGTGATTAACACAGCATGTCTATTCAACGTATGTTAGCTACAATATATGGTATTGTTCGTATCAATTTACCGGGATACACTCCATGAATGTACTGTATTGGTAACTGATTCTCAGGCAGTTCAGGTTTTGTGCCTGATCTATAACGGATCTGTAATTTCCGTTTCGCAGCATCCCCACCGTCCTGGATTCTTCATTCCAGGTCAAACAGCGGAACGCATGCAGGACTGGTATCAATAGCAACGTGATTCCGGGTCCAAATTCAGATTCAAACCGTATCAGCTTGCGACCATGTTGAAGTGCTTTCTTTGTTTTGTCACTATTAGGCACTTTCTCTTCTCGAATGAAAATGGCCATGGTCCCTTGTCGATGGGACCCGGAGCATGGCGTAGGCTGATTGCGTCCGGTCCGTCGGAGCCAATCTTGCTCCCACAAAGCTAGGTTGGTCCAATAATGAATTTCCTGTAGCCGCTGTAACCACAAGTGGGTGTTATTCCCTGTTGCTATGAGTTCCGCAGCCCGCAGACCCTCGTGGCCCGATGCCCCTCCCAGGATGACTGGGGTCAAGTCGGTTCCGAGAAAGCGGAGAAAAGAATCCAGCTGCGTTGACAAGTCTGATAGCAGCTTTTCCGCAGTGACTGGGGGCATTTTGTCTGATGGAAATGGGCTGTGAGTACCTAGAATCAGAAAAGTTGGGTCGGCAGGGGTTATCACGCACGCATCCAGAAAGAGGATAGGTTCGATCATACTGCATGATTAAACCTGCACACTCCAATGCGATGTCAGAACGAATACACTGTGTACCCCCCCCCCTGAGTACGAAAGACGACAACCTTGTTTTCATTTTCTATAAATCTTATTTGACGCAAGCTTCCAGTTGATGCTCGTTGATTTGTGCATATGTCGAGTTGAGTCTTTACTGTTCCCTGTCTGAATCTCCACCTGTCATGAGCATTCTACAATTCTTGCAGTGTCTGGGTCGCTCAAAGGTCGAAGAACTATTTCATCCGATTCGCCACATATGTGCTAATACTCTGTGTAGCGTACAACTGCCCTCGTCAGTGCAATGGAATCTTCTCCCGACGAGACAGGCAGCACCGGGCCAAAGGCAACTTGGGCACATATTCTGGGCTCCTATTTTGAATGCATACATTTCAGTGACCTCCTGAGGATCATGCTTTACAGCGCCAAGGTGGGTGCAGCTGCACGTCCTCAAGTGGTCCAGGTGCGGTCCATCCAGTACGGTTTCAATGACGAAAAGAGATCCCTCGTTCTTGATCAATTGGAGGTCGAAGTCATTGTGGATGCTACCAAGAAGACAGTCGTTCAGTATATGCAGTATCCAGATGTGATGGTCATGGATGGAGGCGCGGATGCAGTGGAGAGGTTTTCGCCTATTCCACACACGATATCATGAACCACTCAAGAATCGGAAGTGGATAATTACACCAATTTTGTACGCCTATGCTCTTCTCTCCCTGATATAAGTTCGAAGTCATCATTGGATATCATGCAATGAGAACTCATTAGAGTAGTTGTTCAAGCTAGATATCCCATCTTTACTACCTCGGAATGGGACATTGTCGGAAAAGGAACCATCTCCTCATACCAAAAACAAACAACATATCCGCGCTCGCAGACGCCCCTTGCGGACCGTTCAGAGACCATATCTACGATACTGATCGATGGTATATGAATCTGGATTGTATTATAAGAAGTACTCGTCGCGATTGGGCGGATTGTGGTATTGGATCAAACTTCAAATTAATTGATCATACCTGTTTCTTGTAAGCACACCGAGGAGGGTACAAGATCTGAACCATACCAAATAAGGTAAAAATAATGACAGAATTCTTTGCCCCTTTTGCGACGTCACACGTAGGTCATAGCTCATTGCATATGAATTTTACGGGATGAAGTGGAAATCAACTCTAGGCTCTATAGATACTGGCCGAAAGATCAGCAATATTGAATTTGCCAAACTTGAACCGTGCAGTGATCCGGCTCATCTACATAGCATTCCAAGCTGTAGTAGCATTTCCCCTGTCGGGCGCAAAGTCCATTATACTTGGAACGACGCATATGACTTTTGACAGTCGATCCATCGTTCCCAAATTGCGGCAAGAGCCTGCATTGATTGTAGAAATTTGGCGTTAACTTCTTAGGAAGAAGACTGATTCTGTGAAGCTCAGCAGACAGTGTCGAATCCCTGAGTGGACGCCCACGAGTGGACGAAACAGGATAGAACATGAGGACATGAAAACGCCGGTGACTCCCATTCCGTAATGTGATACGAAAAAAGACACACCGCAATCCTGTTGGGATAGAATTTTCTGTAAAACGGCTGTGGAGCTGCACCAAGAGTGTCACCCACTGGCGTCGGTCGATTTGGCCATGGACTACGCAGCTCCAGGCTGAAGTCCAATTGGCTTCTAGCTATCAAGGACAAGCAGCCAATGAAGACCAAGTCAAGTTTCAGGAGACCGAAACAAATAATTTTTTGGGTTGCCAGAGCTAGCCAATTGTCTTGGATCAACGAATAGTATCGATAGGGACTGGCATATGCGAAGTTCTTTCAGCGCCTAGGCCATTAAATCGCAATGTAGGCACAAGTAAATCACCCAATCACGCTATAGATCGCCAATAATCATGGTTTGTCTGCTGCGGGCCCACAGTAAATTACTGGCGAAGAAAAGGTTGGAGGTAGGACCGGGGCAGTTCGGGACACCTTTTTGAGGCAATTGGTCATTCGAAGCAATTGGCCATCATTTCATCCGCTAACCACCAGTTCCGGTTTATAGGGGTTCTACAGAGCACGGATGCCCTAGCGCTCTGCTCATAGTTGGGCGCAAAGCCGGCGTCATGCCCATGATTTCTGATCCCCCCTTCGCATCTCAGCACTTTCATTTCTTCATAGGGCAGAATACAATGTTACCTCATATTCCTGCCAGCTTCAACATATTGCTTACAAGTAAGCCCGCTGCACAGATCTTTGGGGTGTACAATAATATACCGCAAGCTAAAGCATTTTTGTGACGGTGTGTATCCGCCACCTCAGCCCATTCTAAATCCTCAAGAAAAAAGACCTAAGCTGCCGCACGAACCAACACTTGCGTCACTTCCATCCATCTTTGAGAAACAGAAGCACAAGAACCATGGTTCAGCGGACTCGAAACAATCGCAGCCCCATAAAGACGGTTGGGCCCAAGAAGCGTCCAGAGGGCAGCAGATATCGCAGGGCGGAGGGCATCTGCCGAAAATGAATAAGTGGATGATAGAGATCACTAGAATTGATACAACATCGATTATCATATCGTCAAATAGCGGGATACCGTTTCTCGCTTCTTAAGAAAGTCTCGATCGCATTCTCACGGAATGCATTACTGCTCTGGGCCCCTGGCGAGGCGATTCTTATCAGAATCCAAGCGGTTGAGTTGTTGAAATATATACAGACTCACGGGGAGCAGTACCGCCTATTCTGGAATTGGATATTGTGTTTAGATATTGGTAAATGGATTGAAACGCTCAGCTCAGATACATTCAATAATGAGTTCAACCAAGTCTGTTCTTCCTGAGCTCGCGAATGCTCTGCTGCTTTCAATTATCCTGAATATGGATAGGTTTTTCATGCGTTGCCCAACCTTCTTTTCATGTATAAGGAATCTGTATTGTTATATATGAGTACACAAGAAGTTGAATGATTTTCTCCCTCGTTGGGGATGTCACTGCTCTTATTTCCTTCAACTGGGCCCCAAGCCTTGGGCTCAAACCTCCGGCGGTTTTCTCCATTGATATCCTTGCCTATCTCTCTAAACATTAGATCAATATCATCCAGCAAATATACCATAGGCTCATCATTGTGCTTTTGGTGGTCGCTGGTTCCACCAAGACAGCCTTTAACACTGACAGATGCAGGGGCATCGTTGAAGCCTCGGGTAGACTTCGCATTCCTCAAACCCCTTTCCCATGCGAGTAAAGGAACTGAATTGTTCACAAGTTCAGTGTTCGTGCGTTCTCGTTCGTATGGTACGCTGTAATAGACCGACTAGTTCACGGCACGACCTGCGCAAATCTCATACCCGTTAGCAACAACCTTTCACTGTAACGCAGCACTATGAGATTGAACAGACCTAGTTGCATAGCTTTTTCCTTGGTCCCCATGATATCTGATATAGCACTTGTTGGAGGGATTGGTTCGTGCCTTTGAGAGAGCAGCTGGCCAGGAAGTCAACTCTTCGTCCGCAAAAAATACCTCGACTCCCTTAGGAATATCCTAGTGACTCCATATGAACTGAATGAATGTGAGAGTGCAAATGGAAAGGGGTTCCCCGAGGGAGATGTGGACGGAGAGCAGAGTACGCCACTTGAAAATTGGAGACATCCTCTATGAAGAGGAGCTGCTCTTGACTTTTCCAAGCAAATGTATCCCTCCTGTGGCTCTTGCTTCCATCTCTGACTGTCCAGCAACGTCACCGAGATGACCATCAGGAGGTCTTCAGTAGTAGGATGTGTTTGTAGACAGTGGTCGGTGAGAACGTGTCAAATCTGGCGTGCTGTTACATAACGGCACTTGCGATGAAAGAGGTCTGAGTTTGGTTGAGGGTGTAATGTTGTTTGATCTTGGAATGCGAGGTAGAGAGTTTGCGAGAAGCAGAAGAAGCTCAGCACTACCTGTCTGTTTTAGGTAAGGCACCCTTGGATTGTCTTCTCTTCACCACTGCCTCACGCACCTCAATACCCTGGCCTAGCTTGTGTCTTTCACCTGCCAGCTCTTGAAAATAAAACACACGCCATATCCGTGTGACAAACTTTCTTTTCCGTCCCATCCTTTCCGACGAGTTCAAGTTCACTGAGTTTTCAAAGTCCCCCCAGCAGAAGCTTTCATATTGAACCCCGAAGTCTGGCCTTTGAGATGCTTCAACATGTAGTATCTCTCTGGCAGATTGGTAACTTGTGCTAATTCATACTATTTATAGCACCGACAGTCCTCAGGCCCACCGAACTCTTGACCTCTCCCATCCGTCTCTTCGTCAACCGATCGTCGTGCATGATTTCTCGATTTTCGACCAAAATACCTGATAAAGCTGCTTTCGGCAAGCATTTTCGTAATTTTATTATTGGAGTTACAGTTTCCTATACTCTTATCAGGACGAAAGACCTGGCGTGGGCTCCAAGGGCTGCTTGAACGCTGGGCAAAAGCTCCCCGACCGCACAGCTCTCGCGCTTTGTTGCTTCAACATGATGAAGCTGCCGCATACCATACAATAATCTTGTTGATCTCTTGGGGTCAAAAGGCTAATCCTCAGGATCGCTAGCCGAAAGCTGCCTCTGTTGAAGACTCTACCTCGTTATGCGCAGTCATATATGAAGGGTACTCGTGGCGTCGATTGAGACATACCGCAACTCCGGAAGGAAGCACAACTAGTGGTGCAGGGTGAATCTTCCTATGGCTCAAGGGCTCTCATCGCTAGGTGAATGCAGCCCGAGGCCATAGAGAACACTTCTCATGGCCAGCCTTGGCTCGAAGTTCAACGGAAGACACACACCCTGCTCTGGTACAGTACCATCAAGTCCACTTCTCACTTCTCCATATTCTTTGCAGACAAGATAACTACATAAACTCTAGCTTTCCATCCAATCTACTTCTTCCCACAAAACTCTCTCAAGAAGGTTTCTCTACTCATGTCTCCGTTGGCAAATATAGCCCGGCCACTTGCAGCATCACGTAGAATCACAGTTTCATGCCTCGAGCTATCCCGTCCAGTGCTGATCATGCTTGTGTTATCAATTGTGCAGTCATTGAAGACATAGGTTCGTCGAGTCTCATGGCCAATACCGTTAGGCTCCCCACCGCAGGGCATGATGGCTAAGGCAAGTCAATACTCAAGTTTTGTACTGACAATGCGTATCATAAGTACCTAGGTGTCTCTGTTTGTTCGAAATAGAAAGAGGATCATTGGACTGAAGTTCATCATCTCCGGGGGACTTTCGGTCCTTTGTAAGATAATTTCAATCAGTACAAGTTTCTGAGGGTGTAAGAAATCCCAGACAAGCTTCGAGGCTAGGTTTACCGGGTCCAGACCATCCCTCATGGAAGTCAAGTTTGATCGAGTCTTGGAATTTCATCAGTCACAGGACACTTCGAGGAGAAAGGAGGCTATCATGAGCATAGTACATACCAAAGCATTCCTCTCCATCTTTTTCATGTCTGACTGGATAGGCTCGTGCACCGCTGCAGGGCTTACACCTGAGTCGGTCTCATCTTGAGCTGATGCACCCTGGGAACTGTCTTTGAGCCATTTGAGAGTCATTCTGGAAGCAAATTTCTTTCGTGTAATACCATGAAAGGGAGATTGCACGGGTAGTGTTGGATAGCAGGGGAAGAGAGACCAGAAAGAGGGGCAGTGGATCGACCAGGGGCCGACGTGCCATATTACCCCTAGTATTGTCTATGTACGGCTTGGTATGATTGCTATGTCCATGACATGGGACCAGTTATAGACCCTTTAGTCTGCCGCAGGACCCTACGAGCAAGCCTCGGCGTTAAGACCAGGTCATACAAATCACTATGGTCAAGAGCCCGACATTGGCGCCAGTTGCGGCTTGCTCGGACCAACTCTTTGAGCAAGATCAAAGTTCGGTTCCTCTGCGCTATCCTCCAATGAAGTTGAGGCGATGAAAACCAATTCACATACGTGGTTAGAGCTCTACACTAGTACAGTGCCCTGAGAGCGAGACAGAAGCGCCAATCCTTCCCCGAATCCTCGCTTTTAGATGCCTGTCCAACAATCCTGACAATCTAGACCTTGCATTCCATCATTACTGATTGCTTGATATACCACTTTTTACTGGGAAATGTCCAGGGGAGGTTTCTTGCTCATATAATTGGGTCTCCACCCCGGATCAACATGGACACCCGAGATCAGTTCTTGTTTGATCAGATGAATTACCCAAGCTCATATCTCGCATATCATAACGTTTCAGCGTACTGTCCGGTAGTAGATGTGAGGCTCCCTACGACTTATTATAGAAACGACGATTGCGGCTACGAACAACCAACGGTACCATTTTTGGCTGCACCATCCGCGCCCACGGTGTCCCTCCCGCCGCCGCCTCCCAGATATCGCGCGATCCAACCTCGACCCGATACAAGTGGCATTCAGGTTAAAAGCAGTGATGATACTCCGCTTCTGTTTGAGCTTCGAAAGGGTCGGAGAGGTAGAATGCCCAGAAAGAGCCAACAGAAAAGGAATCGCAAGTCCAAGTCCACTCGGCGAAAGGCAGACACCAACAAGGTTACTTCAACTAAACCAGAGTCACAGAGGTTTGCTTTGCCCATTTCTGGATCTTCTTACTGTTTCCAGTCTAATTTACGGATAACAAATTCAGTTCCACGGTCTTCAACCGATGTACGAATTCCGACCCGGGCTCGAGCAGCCAACAGTCCACTTTCGCTCCTGGTGTAATGCCGCCTACAAACGACGCTTTCATCTCAGGGACAAACCAATCGTCAATTTTTCCCAATTACGCATCCGAAACGCCTGCCCATATCCGGTCAACCGATCATCCCGACGTACACGGCTCCCTTGTTCGGTCAGATAATCACTCTCAATGGCCGAGCATGTCGCTCGGGATACGCCAGAGCCAAGATTATGTGGAAGTAGCCTGTGATGAATTGGCAGTGCATCTTGAAAAGGAACAGGCTCTGCAATCTTTGTACATTTTGCAGGATTATATGGCAAAGCACCCTTCCATCTTTGAAGAGCAAGCACCCGAGACGGTTCACCGATGGCTGGCTGGCATAAACAGCATGAATCAGCCAGGCTCATGCTCATAATAAGTAGAGACAGACCTAGTAGAACAGGTTGCTTAGATAACATATGAAACAAATTCTCATGGGAGCCATATTCTCAGCATCAGCTATCCGTGAACCAAAGGATAGAGGTTCAGGTCACTACCGCACGGGCTTTACAGTATTACGATGAGCAAAGGAGGCCAAGAAAAGCGATTATACATCTTTTTCAGCAGAGCAATTTTCATCTTACATGTGGCTACCATTGAGTTATCAGGAGAAGTCTCTTCCTCTATTGGATGCCCCCGTAAAGCGACAGATCTTCATCCAAGACCAATGATGCTGTCGAGAATAACAATAGCTTTCAGATTACACAACGAAATAATGTCGTCGACATATGCTAGATCTTTGGTCGGCGATAGAACGTGGCATTTGGTATTCCTGGCTATAGCAATAGTCAGAAGAGTCTGGGTCTTCAAATCAGGGTTGCTCGGCCTGTTGGAACTCTGGATGCGGGCATTTTCATGGAAGTGAAATTAGCTTCAACGAGCATTTAGAACTGATCAGTATTTGAGTGTTTTATCCTGTACTAGAGTGCAAGTCTCTCGCTAAAAGTGGAAAGTACTTCACGATTTTTTTTTGATAGTAAAAATTAAACTCAGTCAAGTTTATTACCTCCCTTCTTGACATCATTTATAGGAGAAGCATGATGAAAGTAGCAAAGAATGCGAATGACTATTCCAGAAGTGATATTTGAAACCATAGTCAAAAACACACATCGCTATCATTGGGTCAGCCTTGCCACAGCTACACGTTTAGCAAAGGCCCTCAATTCTCTTGTGTATCAAGCCACGTCACAGTGGACTGATTCAATGTCCAATATGACCCGGCTGTGCTACTAGGAGCTCACACCTGACCCAAATCTATTTCAATTTTCTTCAATTAATATAAAATCAGCGCTGAACAGAATGATAAAGGGATTGTCAAATCCAATTAAATGATAACGACATCTTTCACCATGCCTGAGACAACGTGGGTTTATCATTTCATTGGAAGAGGTACCTCTGAATTTCAGCAAAAAATCAAAAGAAAAGAAAAACAGAAAATATAAAAGTAAAAAAAGGAAATCAAGACAAAAAATAATACAAACCATTAGCATGCTCTTTGATTAAGTGGATCAGTTTCGACCCGCACACAGCAAGAGCTCCACCCGGGTGTACTGTATGACAAGATATTTTGGTATCGGCCACGTAAATACGCTTATGGCACCCACTCTCTAAGAAGTTCCCCGATGTTGCAGAAACTATGATTAGAACACCTGGAAGAGTCTAGAACTAGGGCACGGCAGAGCCTGATACACCCGGGCTTTCTAGGTCACATCCATGGGGCTTTTCGCCATCTACTTAAACGAGCATCTACCTCCTTTTCTTTCAGGTCCATCAATCTCAGCCACATTGATCAAGTCCCAGGGTTTGAGACGGAAGCCGTCAATATGAAAGGACACACTTCAAACATACAAATGGACAAACAGTTGGCCAATCCCATCCCCGAAAACCAGCTGCTCAATGAAGTGAGAGAAATATACGATGAGTTAGTTATTGCAGAAAGAGAATGCATTAATGTGGTGGATATCGTCTCACAAATAGACCAAACCGCGGGACTATCGGATGAACAATGGAGCTTGTGCACCTCGTTGCACCAAACACTCCTCCACAAGCATTTTGACTTTTTCATTGTTTCGCAGCATCCGGCAGCCAGCCCAATCTTGAGAAGCCTGGCTCAAAGATACGAGATGCCTGGACGCATGTGGCGCTACGGAATCTACTCCTATCTGGAGCTGTTTCGCACAAGGCTCCCCAGCCCCAGTGTGCAGGACCATATGCTAGGCTTCATATATTTCTCGTATTCGATGGTGACGCTTCTTCTAGAGCAGGTCTCCACATTTGAAGAAATCTGGACAGAATGCTTGGGGGACCTAGCACGCTATCGTGCTGCAGTGGAGAATTCCGATGAGACAGTCCGCCATCACTGGGTAGACATTTCCAGAGATTGGTACAATCAGGATATCGATCAGTAATTTAGAACTGGCCAAATTCAGCACTATCTTGCCGTTATCTCTCGTCCGGATACTTTGCAGATGTTCTTTTACTTCTCGGAAGCATTACTCAGTGTGGACCGATTTCCAAAAGCGCGGGAAAGCATGATTCAGCTGTTCAACGATATTCTAATCGCACCGGCTGAGGAACACACATTGATTAGTTCTTTTGCGGCTGCCCATGGTGTTATTTTCAAGCGTATGCCATATGACCAGTTTGTCATTCGGTTCCATTTCTTCCTTTTAAAAAATCATCACAGCCGATCGCCTAGTCTCCCGGAGGCACGAGAAAGCACGTTAATCATGTGCTGCAATATTGCAGCGATCTTGGACTATGGAGAAGGGAACGGGGAGTTTGCAACGGACTTTGCTCACAACGCAAGTACTTCTACTGCAGACGCCTATATCATTGCAAAGTACTGGGCATCTGCAACAGCACATATTGAATCAAACAGGCATGTCTATACTGTACAGTACCTGGAACTCTGCACACTGTACTTCAGTATATTTTACTGACCATATCTCGACATCTAGTTTTCTCGCTGGATAACATATGATCAAACACAATTTACGCCTACCAGGCTTGCCTTTCTATTTGCGACAGTTGCTCAACATCCTGAACACTTCGGTCGAGGTCCTTACACCGCACCTGCGCCTGTGGAGTAGAAATCAGGGGACATTGGAAATGAAGGCACGGGTGCTTGTCCGAATTTAGGCCTGTTGAGGCGATGCATTTGTTTAGCTACTGTTATCTAAGTTTTGTTGATAGCTCCCAGAATATGTGAAGCTCTCAAGGCTAGCGAAGATGCAGAGTAACATATGTGTAATTTCTCGCATCTGATGCCCTAAAGATGGAGTGCCGCATTTGTTGTTGGTTGACTTATCATTTGCGGTATTTGCCACTCGAGTCATGTACATTACCCATGTCAGACTTTGAGATGAAGAAAATGCATCGAATGTAATCAGTCTTTGCTATAGTATATAGACAGATTGGGTGTTAGCGGTGGGAGTCTGTCCAGCCCAGCTGCACATACGAGGTTCGTTATGCCCTGCTTTGTGGTCCCAGTGTCGTAAACCTTCTATCAAGTTGCCTTTTTAATCATATGAACAAGTATGAGCAAAGTTTTCCCACAGTATGATGATAATGACTAGAGTCCGTATTTCCGCATCGCCGTGTTCAATGTCAAGCTGTAACTATCTACAGATACAAGGGTTTTACTTTTTGGCTTTCCTCCCCCGTTCTGCACTTATTGATTGAAAGGACAACTACAATATTGCAACCAGAGTAAATAAGTAAATGCACTAGACCTCGTCGATCTGATATCAGTTCACTTGAGCGTGATCTTTTTCACGGGTGCAGTCAAAGAAAGAACGTTTCCTTAATTCATGCGGCCTTTCTATGTCTGTCCTGATAGAATCAATAGGTATCCATGACAGTGTTCTGATGCCAACATGCACATCATCATTTTCAATAAACCGGTTACGCTCCTGTTGATGGCTTGTTGATTCCTAGAGGCGTAAGTGGCGCTCCTTGCGCTATAGCTTAGTCTTTTCAGAGTGACTCGATGGAGCAGATTTGTGCGCAGGATTGGTGAAGGTGTTTCTTGAGGGCTCTGCGGGGATTTGAAAGGTACTATGGTCACTCTATGATGCTGAAGTATGCTCCCAGGGGCTCTGCAGCTCCTGGATCTGGATGTTTTATTCCCAGAGCCATTTTTTGTTCCGTCAGGAGCATAGTGTAAAGATCCCAGGAGCAGATCTCGTCTTCCTGGTGCCTAGAATAGCCCTAGAAGCTAGAAAGCATTTCCTAGGGGTACAAAGCTCCTAGAAAGGCTTTGTGTTCTGATTTTCAGCCTCAAGCTGACAGTTACAAGATACACGGCTCACCAAGAATCAGATCAAGCTTCTCCAGGATTCTGGGCCCCATTGTGGCATTAGACAGAAAAAGGGGATGAGATAAAGTATCCAGTCTCACTATCAACACAAAAGTCATTCAAGGCAGTCGAACTTTGCCTAGAATCCGAGGACTTTTAGCGCTCTGTTGGAAGTCCGGCATGATGGTGCTGATGTGAATTTTGTGGTGTTTGTGTACGATAAATTACCTCATTTTTTGGTTCTTGCTGGGGTGAACGCGCCAAAGGATATACATTGAAACACAACACTTTTTTTTACATTCGTTGAACGACTCAAGAAATCCCACGGCAGACAAAATAAAATTTAGATAAATAAGAAAAGTCAACGAACAACGTATCTCCACACCGGTCAACGACAATTCGAGCACCCGCTCGCGCGACCGTCGCCTAACGCTTCCGCAATCCAGACAGAGTCTTGACGGACGGAACACTACACACGACTCAGACAACCAACATTCAAGCGAGGCGCGGAAAAACACAATCTATGATGCGTAGTGATGAAAATGTCGGCGCTATTGGTAAAATTAAAAAATGAATCCATTTCATTGCCTCAATATAGAAGACCGAATGTTCAACAGTGAGCCAACGTTTCTTAACCGACTCAGCTTCACTTATTCTCAGCATGACCGACATTTTTGCTCGGTGGGCATCTCAAATAGCCCTGACGATGTCGCTGCAGATAGTTGTGGTAGTAGAATCTGCCTCACTTAGGATAGGCATCGTGTCCTTCAACGTTTGCTTCTCAGCAGAGCACACGCGACTGGAGCTGAGGAGCCTATAAATACGTCCTCCTCCCCCCAGCAATTTGTTCTGCAATACTTTTCCTTGGCTTCCAGAGTCGAGCGGCCTTTCGCTTTGAGGCACCAGATAAGTTTCTTTCTCTGACCTTACTAGAAATTCACTATACTGACATCTATAGTTACATTGTGGTCCTCCAAGGAAGTGCGAATGAGAATGTGATTCCCACCAACTTCACTTTGCTACTGTACCCATGGCAGCCGACCACTGTCCGGTGAATACATCGATGTAAAAGAGCGGTTAGACGGGTCACTCCCAGCACGGTACTGTCCAAATTCAGCTGACCCCATAGATGATACGAAATAATACTACGTGCATTCGCCCAGATAACACCAGCCACGGAGCCCTTTCCCGTGTCTTTATGCAGACTATGTGAGTCATGCAGTGTCCCGCTGATCAAAAGCTGATGATGGACAGGAAACCGTGATACACTCCAATTTGACTCCGAAGTAGAACTCCGTCAGTGCTCCGCGAAGGGTCATTACTTACGCACAATTCTGGCTCTCTAAATACAAACCACGCAGTGTGTCCTGCATGAGATACCGCCAACCAAGGTCGCGGGCCAAGGTCATGATGAATCAATTCCAGACGTTCGTCGTCTACGGTCAGGTGAGTGGAATATCGCACCTCTTGCGGTGTCGAGTCCGATGCCTTGTGTCAATTTTGTGCCAAGTTTATGCCACAGATACGAAACACTGACACTATAATGCCATTGTAGCAGCCCATCACCAACTGCGGAAGCCCTTATCGCGAGAAAAGCAATCCCCGCCAAGTCTGATAAAGCTGCGGGCCGATGCGCTCCATCGTCTCCACCTCACAGCCTTCGCACTCTGAACGACGGTGTGTCTCTACAAGGAGTCCTCCAATACGACTGTACAATCATAACACGGATAGGTCGCGAAGTTGCCCTGCGCACCAAGTCTGGCTTTCCCGAACAAGCTGATTGGATACAACGCGGCATATTGATGACACCGTTGCAAAAGAGACATGGTGGTCTCGCTGGTAGGCTGGTATCATGACGATCCTGATTGACCAACTGTCTGAAGCATACCATCGATGACCGGGGAAGTCTTCATCAACAACGTACAGTACAATGCCTCGTCTAACTGAATCAACACTGGCTGACTCTGATCTCATTACAGGCAACCCTTGGATTCGCATGACTCGAATGAGAAGCGAGCAAATTTATTGAGCGTTTAATTTCCCTGCACTACAGTAATACCAGCACATAGTCTGTGTCTTCTACAAGACTATTGCTGGCACAAACGAGTCGCCACCTCGACCTTGGAGTCGATTGATCCATCAGGTCAGTTGTTATGCCTGTCTGATCTAGGCCCGAAGGAGTGTATAGCAGTCTGTCTCTCAGAATTTCAGGACCTGCAGGGGATAGCCGAAAGCCTTGTGGCGCGGGGATTTGTTCCGCCTGATGGCATGGATATCTACTGCAGTAGATACTGTCTCCATACCCCGACTGAACTCCGTGACCGAGACGAGGCGGTACTACGACCTTAAGGAGATTATGCTGGACAAACACCTGCACATCTAGCGAGGCACACGGTGATCACCTCAACCTTGATGGGCCCTACAAATCATCCGTGAAGCTCGTACCCGAATGCGCCCGCTGAGAATCCAAGGCATACGAGCGTGGAGCCTAAATGCGGGTTCAGTCAAGCTCCGTCGACGCATGGATATCGGAATATCTGACCCTCAAGTTCGACGGGTAGATCAAATGACTGCTCATCCCGTTCGGAAAGCTCACAGTTTGCTCTATGGAGCGGCCATGAAATTCTCAAGCTGTGAGGACAGACCCCGTTCTTTGTGAAAGGCGTTACAGCGAATATTCTGGTTCAGCTTTAACGCGCCCTCGAGCCGGGGGGCGGGGTCCCCCAGAGACCCCCTTTATGGGGGTCGGCGAGGTAATTCCCAATTGCCGGGGGTGCCCCCCAAGGCGACGGGCAAGACTTCCCTGCCAGCCCGTCGATTGTGACATCTCTCAAACAGCCCCTCCATCAGTTCTCCTCATCCTTCTATCATTGGAATCCGGGTCTTATTCCCCTCACGAATTTGCGTGGTGCATATGTTCCCGGCCCGTGATCCACCTCCCGCTCTGCGTTGATATCCCGTGGCCCACCGTGTTATGTGATCCTAGTGCGTGTAACGCTTGGACGCTTTCCTCTCTCTTGTATGCTACACGGGAAGTACTATCGCCTTCCTCACTCAGTACGACGAGCTGTCGTTGATGGTGGTGGCTTTGACTAACCTCAAGGCTCTCCTTCGTGTCAACCACTACGGGATACTTTGATCCCTTATGCCAGCCCTCTTCCCCAGAATACGGCCTCCCATTGTTGACAAAACAGAAAGGTCTGGTGCTGAAATTATAATTGAGTCCACTTTTCTGACCAGTGTCAAGCGAATGTGAACGGGCGGTGGGACAAACTAGTCCATGGGTCAGCGCATCTTGCCCGTCGCCTTGGGGGCACAATACGGTACCCATGGTTGACTTGGCAGAAAGGTCTGCTGGTGCTGCATTTGAAATTTAACCCACTTTTGTGCGGGAATGTAAAGGAAATATGAACGGTCGATGTGACAAACTAGTCCATGGGTCAGCGCATCTTGCCCGTCGCCTTGGGGGGCACCCCATTGGAAATTGCCTCGCCGACCCCCATAAAGGGGGTCTCTGGGGGTCCCCGCCCCCCGGCTCGAGGGCGCTCTGGAATGGAATCGGAACATGCGCTTGTGCCTTTTTGGTAGGATAAAGCCTTTGTACATCAAAATAAAACCAACATGGCATACAGACGTGGTTCGTAGAGATTAATCGGCTAGGGACCCGCATCCTGGCAGCGGCGTGGGGACTAGAACGCAAATCAATACTCTTGGTCTCACGTGTCACAGTCCGACTATGAGCTAGACTGGCATGGCCAATTGCGTGATAGGCAGATCATATAGGTCGTCTACAAAGGCTCGTGCAGGAACCGGCGCTGCGTCATTTATCGCGCATCATAGCTTCATAGCCGGCAGAGCGCGTAGTCGGATCTTCAAGTATTATTTTACTTGACAAGAGTATACTCATGAAGGCAATCTCTGCGACTATTGACGAGGCTGATTCACTTCGTTATGTCATACATGCGTACTGTAGTCTCAGCAAAACATCAATAATATATATCCGCGTCTGCCCTTGGCTCTTTACTAGTAGCCCATAAATCAAAAAACGACCCCCAGAAGATATGTATGAGAGCTGAGAATGACATATGTAAAGCGAATGCACAATAAAAAAATTTCGCTTCGAATACTGTACTTGCAGTAAATAGTAGAGATGGGTTTCAATTGGCCTCAATTAAGATGTGACTAACGAACCTTTCATTCATGAGAAACCTCACCGCCTTCGCACACTGAACGACAGAGTCCTCCAATATGATCGTAAAATCCTAGCACGGATAAGTTCATCGCCCGCATTTTCCGTCTTGCGAACTTGCCCTGCGCACCCAGTGTGGCTTTCTCGAACAAGCGGAGGGTGACGAACCTGCATGTGCGTTGATCACCAGTCCCTTCACCGCCCGATTAGTGCACATTTCACCACACCGACATCAACACGTCAACACGTCAACACGTCAACACACAAACTCAAAATGTCTACTTTCACTTCACACTGGTATAACAACATCCTATCAAAATAGCCCCCCAGCGCAAAATCTATATGCATTCTACACCATAAGCGGGAAGGCGGCTTCTGTTGGTTAAAATACTGGTGATTTGGTTGTTCTTCGAGCTGTGCCTCCATTGCACTGGAGCTTTGGTTTTGCGTTGGGTACTAATGACCCTAGGATCTTAGATCCTATCGCTTGCCCGCCTTTGTGGCCCCAGCACCATTGTAATCAACCCTCTGCGTTCACACGAGGAATAATTGAAGGGAAGCCCATTTGATAATGATAAAAATAGGTAATTGCTGGCGACTTCCTCCTTATAAAATTGTTTGGGGGTTTCCCTTGAAGCATTATTCGAAAATGGCTTTTCCTTCGTTCTTTATCTCTCTTTATTCAAAATTAAGCCTCAGATATCTACCTTTTTTTTTCAAAAAGAAGAGCCCTAGAAGCAGCTAGGAACGAATATGAAAAGCTGGGTTATGATTATATGAAGAAGTGAAATTAGTAGATTTTGTGTTACGCCAACCATACAACGAGGTATAGATAATGCGGAGGAGTTGCCTATGGACCACTGGAATCGCCTATTGATACATCACCTCACTTGTCTGCTTGCATATGCACAGTGGGAGCCCCTAGAAAAGGAGGGGCTAAATCCTCTTAGGAGGTCTAGAGATTAGTCTGAATATAACCATACTCATATCAGGCACATCTCCATTCTTCACTCGTATCCATATTATTCCAGGACGCCCCTAGGGGACTGTCCTAACATTTTGGCAAGAAGCTGAAATATTGAGGTTGATGGATCTAGAGACCCGGAGGTGAAGGAAAGACAAGAAAATATGATAAAATTTTGCGGCCTATGGTCACCGTCGCCTTCTCTTCCTTCTGCTCTTATCCAGTACCAAAAAAGCACTCATGTTACTGTATCTACCCAAAACGACTCTCACTTATTCTGCCTAGAGGACTCTACGAAGCTTTTACTTTATGGTAACCCTGCTTCAATCCTGTCTATAAGTAAAGACCGTCGTAAGATAAGTCATTCCGATGTCATTATCCATGTTACGTTCACTTGTACATCTTAGATACCTGCTCATTCAAAGGAATCCAAGAAGCTTTGCAGAATCCAATTTCTTTAAATCGCCGGCAATAATATGGGGCTACTATCCACGGTGTCTCCAATTGCACAAGCAAGTGAAACGCGGCGTAGAAGCGAGCAAGTTTGTTCGTGCCTATTTACAGGAAGCTAAGGGATTCTGTCCAGTTAGAAGTTGGAATAAAATGTGGCTTGCGGTACGTAGGCCCAAAATTCTAATTTGGTAGATTCTTATGTTTCGTCGGTCTCGCGGTCTATCACCAAATAGATAGTTTGCAAGTTGAGTAGGCCAGTGAATCCTATAATTTTCTCAATCTGGCGATCGTATTCGCAAAAGCCCAGCTACCTAACACTTACTGATAGAGTGCAACCAAGTAGGATTGCGATGCAGTTTAAGTGAAACTTGCTAGCCCAGTTAGTGATACACCAGCATGTAGATTACATGTTCTCCCATCTCTGATTACCGGTCGCGACCAAGCGATTGAACAACTCATCTCGCTCCGGTATCACTGTCAACCTCCAAGTTTTTTCTTCCTTATCCTCAATCTCTAAGCTTGCTAGCAACTTCTGGTCCGACGAAACCGCAGCCACTGCCTCAATCGCAGTATTTACAAAGGCTGTTGCCCTCTTCACTCGCTTCATATCACCCACGGCAATTTCAAACACTGGTTCCAGCTTTTCAGAGCTCATTAACCTTGGGTCATCGCGCGTGAATAACAGGCTTGGTCTGGCAGACTCTGTGATGACTGCCCAACCATGTTTCCCCTCAAATCGACATTGGTATACACTCGGCCCGGCATAGATGATGCTTTTTGTCTTAGGCAAAACGCCCAAGTGACCTTTCGCCTTCTGCGAACCAGTTGCGGCCCGGACGTGATCAATGGCCAGCTTCGTCTCGAAGACAGATTTGGCATTGCCTTTGAAGAAGCGGACAATCTTAGAAAGATGTTTGTGATTTGGCTTTTCTTTATCATCGTCGCTGTGGGCTTTCTCAACTATTGAAGGCATGGTCGCATGAAGGACGTCGGAACGGGTGGCACCAAGAGGTATATTCTCAGCTTCAATGGGATTTTGATGATCCGGGTCATCGGGGTAGGAGGTAGGTACAGGAGGAAGAGGCGTTTTGTGTGCTTCGCTGATACGAAGAAGAGTTATTGCGATCTGGGTGTTTGTAGGGACGCCGCGAAGGAAGTTGCTACTTGTAATCAGTATTGGAGCGAACAAGAAGTTGGGAGACTGACTTTTTCGGTTGTGCAAGCTCCTTGTAATTGGGCACGTTTCGTTTAAGCCACGCTATCGCAGGTGTCAGCATTGGATCGCCAAAAATGACGAATCCAATGAGACACCCAATCCCTTTGTATACCATGTAATAGTTGACGAAAAGAGATACGAGAAATAAAGGGGCAAGAACAACCACTATTCTAATAAATGCAAAACGAGAAAATGGCGGTGTTGGTGAAAGAGCGCTGAAGTTGTGTCAGTAAAACCATATGAGAAAGCAATGACGACTTTACCTCGCAAATCTTTCCCAATTATCACAGCTAGCTCTCCCATCACATGTGGTGCAATGTCAAGAACGTTGGCAATACTTTCTGGATTGACTCCAGCCCATATAATCTCTTCCATCGGCTGCTGAGTTTGATCGGTACTCTCAGTAACATGTCCGGGTGCAGAGCCTGCAGATTGGACAGCTTTAACTGCTTTGCTGATAGGCTTCGGTACCTTCCCTTCCAGTGGATCTCCATCTCCATCCTGTTGTTGGCTGTTGTGCATACCGACAGCTCTCTGAATATTGTGTCGGACGTTGTCGACAAAGTTGGCTGCTTCCTCTTCGATAGCTTCATGCGGCTGCTTTTCCGGAGCACCAGTGATTGTATCATTCGTACCTAGCAGACCTGCTTGGGGCTTCTGAATCCCGCCTGTCCTAATATTTACCAGAGCACGCGGTGCTGATGGAAACAACATGTTGCGAACTTGCACCGAAGATACCACCATTATCAATATTCCAAGAGCAAGCGGCATCAATAGATCAAATAGCCATGCAGCGAAGTAAACCTTAATAATTCGGTTCAGTCCACATCTTTTTGAAAACTTTTAATCCAGGAGTGGAATTGTGTCCAACGTACCGCACAGAATATTGATGTACGACAAGTCTCCTTCCAGGAACGAAGTCGTGAAATTTGTTTTCCAAGGCTCGCGATGCCAAGAACCACGGTCAAATAAACTCGTTGTAGGTGCAGACCCACCTTATCCCCGGCGTGATCTTGAGACCATGCATCATTGAGGTCGAGACCACTTGCATTTTCAATAGACACCGCTTTGACATCGAAGACATCCTGATCAGTCTGAATTAGTCCTGTGAATATATGGTCGGGACTAAGAAAGCCCCACCTTATTGAAGCGTCTGATGAATGCAAAAAGCTCTCCGTTCGTATAACCACCAACCAACGGATCGGGTATTTCTACATTAGCCTTATGCCAACCAATGTCCCTCGCGGCTTCGGTATTGCTGCCACGAGTGTACTCTGTCTGGATAGCACCTTGGACCTTCGGTACCTCGTGCGCTAGCTCATGGCTGTCCGCATTAAGGTCCTTCTTCATGACCTCTACCGGGCCGTTAATCATTGCATAGGCCTGAGCTTCCAAGGTAGCCACCATACTAGGGGTGTTGCTGCTATGGATGAGGGTTTCTGGCTTTATTTTCTGGTAAATGAGGTTGTGATGAACCAATGATGCGCCAATCAAGCCATAAGCTTTATTTTGTAAGGTAGCCAGCATCGTCGGAGAAGCAATATTATGATCGAGGAGAGTCTCGATGTGGTCGGGCGTTTCTTCACCCTGGGACAATTCCTGGCCACTAGAATCATCAACAAGCGCACTAGCCTTGTCATGTAATTTCTGCCTCGTAGTTGGAGCAGCATCGTGATGTACCTGGCCGCTTGATATGGTGTCAAAGTGATTGTGCCCATCGATCACGGGTAGGTTCTTCTGGCCATTTGCAAAATCACCCAGCTTATGTGAGCTCTCTTTTGAGGTTTGCATCAAATTTGGAAGATGAGTCTCAACGTGATCCCCTGACGTTGCATAGCCGTGATTGAGTGTTGCATATCGAGTCGTAGATGCATTGCCATTAGCAACGATATCATCAATCTGACTTTCTGTCACATCAAAATTTGATGCCACATGTTCATTGCCGCTCAGGTCTGGTTGGTATTGAAGACCGGTGCCTTGGTTTACCTGGGTACATGCCTGCTTGTCCACATCCTGATTTTGTTCTTGTAAAGCTCGGTCAGCGTACTCATTGCTCGCTGGGGGAGTGATCCCCGAGGAGTTGGCGACATATCCGGCGTGATTCGACATTTCGAACCAATATGCGGTCGCCACGTCGTCGTCGAAATGAAATGATGCGATTAAAAAGCTTTACATAGAAAAGCACTAAGTTTAGGCCGCCCGATTGAGCTGCCGGGCAGTACGGGCTTAGGAATTAACGGCAAATATAGTAGCTTATGTAAATCTATTCCTGGCGGCGAAAGTCCTGGTTTGTCAATTTCTTTCTTGCACATCAGGTTCTAGTGATGCTGATAGCGCGCGTCAGTGGCGATGACGTCATTCAACCCATATCACTGCTCTTCTAACACAGGATTTCTATGCAATACATGATGACAGCCACTATCTACTCTCAGTTTCTAGTTATATTTTTTTTCCTTGATCATTCTTTGCTGGCGGTGTACATGCTTATCCTCGTCGCCACTTACCTTTCTTTCTTTTCCTGCACTTTTTTCACACCAGTAGACTTGTGTAAGAAGGCAGATCTGATTCATCATTACGTCCGATCTAAGCTTACAAGTGACTTCTTCCCCTGAAGGCAAGGCCACTAACTTCGTCGTAGTTTGCGGTTCTGCTATATGATAGGCTTGCTTGCGCAAAGTTCAAAATCTACGTATCTCTAACTTGCTGATTGTAAGTCACTTGACTAGAACGAACCGACTTGACATTTGAATCCCTATGTTCTATAGCGAATCGCAGGAGTGGAAATAGCTTTGCCACAATTACAACCACGCTATCGGGAGCTTTGGACAAACTTGCAAGCACGCAATAAAAAATGGATCGGCTCTAAATGTGAGCCGTTGTAAACTGATGAGTGGTCCCCGTCAGTCGGAATCTGTTCCCACCAGTCTCCTGTAGACCAATACCCATTTTTCCGATCAAAGAGATGGCCGTAACTTTCTGTGAGGCGTAGTACCCGAGTACGTGATATCAACCATGCTCTCATGCTGAGAGGACACGGTTGAAGCCCGACCGGGGTTTGCAAGTGCCATCTGAACCAAGACCTGGGAGACCCGTTACTGCGAAAGTATACTTAACATGAGCGCTGATTAGTATCAGAAATTCCAGCATAAGGTTTAGAGTGGCAGAGAAATCCGGCCTGTGCTTATAAGCCAACAAGGCGTTCATCTTTCTTGCTTTGTACGTCATTGTCCTGATTATGGTTTTCGATGACCGAAACAAACGCTAATTCCAGCTCAGCTTCTTCACCTTCTGCGGTATGTTTCTTGAAAATGCAGTACTCTGGACCTACCGCAAGAAGAACATAACCCGTATACACGAGCAGAAAGTGGAGGCAGGTGCGCGGCCACCTCTCGATGCGACACACCACGCTAACCCTGCGGGGAACGTTTAAGATATTGTTCAGCTACTTAACAGGGTCCAGCTAGTTTTATTATCTCTTGATCTGCGGGCCACCATCCTTGAACACTCCGATTCCGCTTTGGCTCAGTATGACTATTTAGTGAATTATGCCTCTCTAATTAAGGCTGAAATATTGAATATGTCAGAAAACATGGTGGATTATGCTACAGAATTCAGGACGAAGATCGCGCGGTATTGGGGCGAGGAATTCTCTACAAAAGAGCATTTTATCAATCGGCAGCCGGTCTCTCTTGTCGGAACGTGGTTGTAATAGTACGCAGTAATAGGATCATCGCCAATTGGGTGCTTGCGATTTGTAATTTGAAAATTATTTAAAGGATGCAGGATAAAAGTGGTCTCGAACCTAGCAACGTATTCAATAAAAGATTAAGGCATTGAAGCATCGGTAATTAAAAGGCATCGGGCACGGCTCAGTATCAGCCAGGCTGCTCTTGTAGAAGCAACGTTTGTGTAAAGTACATAGCATAAATAAGCTTCACGGCGCCGGGGAGATATTCACTTGCTCCACCTTTCTGGCGCTGTTCTTCACTTTGTTCAACTGTCCCATTGAACGAGACATGACCTACCTTCTTGCATTCGGTCAGTCTCATCTTGCGGACAAAGAATGCCTCTCAATACTTCCGGGGCCTTGATTCGGATGCGTCTCGTCATTATTTTCCTCACCATCACCTGGCTGGCCCATGCCGGTCTCAGTTCGGCCCCTGTACGCTTTGCGGTCGCTCTGCGAGACTGCGCAAAACCTGACCTCGTCCCCCCAAGCGACTCTATTTTGGAAATAACGTTCCAAAGCTCATGGACAATGTCGTCGAGGGCATGGTGATTGTGGCCCTGGTCTCAGCCCTGTTCTCCATCTTCAGGTTTGTCCTTGTGATTTACCCGAAGTGGCTAAAAGAGGACTGCACCGCTCGATTCTACTACAGTTGCATTTAACCGTTGTGAGCTTGATCGTTCTCTCCCTAGGGGGTTATGTTGTCAGCCACGTCCGCAGCTTTCCGACATCCTTCGAGTTTTTTGACAGTGCGGGCCACTTTCCATACTACAAGATTATGTATTATGGAGCCGTTGGCAAGGCCGCTTTCGGAGTCTAGGGGCCATTATGTCTCTCGTGTGTCTTGCCGTACGTGGCTGACGCGGTCACTAGCAGGGTACGCACACCGAGCTACAAAACAATCGAAGAGGCTTTTCGAACTGCTTCCTAGAGAAAGGCCGTGAAACGAGAGTCAGCTGGATTACGAATAAAGTCGATCGCATCTGATGACGATTTCGAAGAATGAGGGAGGGAGGTGGAGTCCGCAAACGCTAGAGAGGTGCGACGGATAGGGTCATGCAAAGGAATGGACTTTACTGCAGAGTTGCTGAGATAATGTACCAATTGAATTACCTGATTAGAATCAAAGCATGTTCATCGCTTGATCCGACTAGCCAACCAATTGTGGCCAGTATTGGAGCAGTATGCGGGGTGGCGTGATGCAGCAAGCAGATGATGGTTGACGACCTACACTGCGTAAATGTTTATCAACCTTGGTGGTCATGAAGGCTTCAAAAGCCAACTCTAGAAACGTGCGAGCTGCCCAGGGATCACATAGCCTCAACAATGCGTACGCAAGTTGTGGACTCTCCGTTCCCACTATCATAAATTCAGTCACGTTCCTGTTGAAAGCTCTATCAGCCCTAGAAATGCACGTCTTGGCCCTGGGATTCCTCTTGCTCCCGGGGGCTTTAGTGCCGTTTTTGGGAGCAAAGAAGCAGCTTCCAGGAGCCATCAGCCCCCAGGAAGCCCAACGGAGCTTCTGGGGTTCTGTGCCTCCACCCCGGGGAATCAATGTCATGTTCCTGTTGACGGTCTTCTCAGCTCCTGGAACCTCATGCACAAATCCTGTGGCTATGGCTTGCCTTTCCAGGAGTTATTGAATAACTCAGATTTGTGCGTAAGTCTGGTGAAGGTGTTTTGTGAGTTAAATCCCCACCCTTGGAAGCAGAATACTGACTCTAGGATCCAGATTGAGGGTTCCAGCAGCGCAATAGCTCACAGATCTAGCCATTTTATTCCCAGAGCCAGTTCGTAATCAGTCAGGATCGCAGAGTGAAGATCCCAGGGGTAGACCTCAGACTCCTAGAAACAGGAATAGCTAGGGTTCCGAAAGGAATAAAGGAATGCGAATATGAATATATGAATTTTTTATTCGCGCGAATCAACGCATTATTCATGTTTAGTATCGCGGTGGTCAAAGCTTATGGCGGGACTAGCGATGGACATTTAAATAGATGGGATTCCCACTTTTGATAGTAACCTCAACAAGAACACTACAACTACCTACCTCAACACGAATAAGGATATCGAATATGGCTGGATTAGGCCGATATCCGTATTCAAACCAGCCCTATCGATCCCCCTTTCGGATCTACCTGGGATTGAAGATATGTGCCTTGGTTAACCTCAGAACTTGCCTGCTCCTTTATCTGTTTCTGATCTTTTAAGGCTTGGCCGGCGGGCTTATCGTTGGCCGGGCAAATGGTTATCCAAAAGTTGATGACATGAATGACGTCATTCGACGTTCTGAATGCAATTTTCCAGTAACCACGTCATTGTTGAACAAGAATGGTGTGGCCTTTGCGGCTCAGCGTAGGGTTGTGCTGAACTCAGCCTGGTTATCATCAGTGGTACGGACTTATGAAAGAACAGTAAACGATCACGAATATACCTCTATATTCTCTTGACGTCGACAATACTGATTTGTCCCGCGTTGCTACTTCGCAGTTCGCACAAAGGGTCTGGTGAGGTCAAGGGATCGCATCAGTGGCGATAGTCATTCGCCCATATCAATGCAGGTTTGAACTTGAGATTCCCCGGCAACGCATAGTAGATAACAGTATTCTCCGTGTTCTGGTAGTACTTGTTCATGGGTCGGCAGTCCGTTCCAGAGGACTGGGACCAGAGAAATGTCACCACTCAACCATTCTCATTGAATCACCATGTTTTCAGCTTAAATCAAGATGCTATGGAAAAATATTTCATTGGATTTCAAAGGCCTGGTTTGACATATCATAATTTGTGTGTCGCTACGTTTGCCCCCAACCACGTAACCACTGTGGGATATTTACATGATGTAAAGAGTCCCTTCCCACTAAAAGGCCATTCCATTGGATATAAGAAGGTGCGAAAATCCTTTCCAACTCTCCGGCACATTTCTAGAAAACCATCGAATCCTTTTGGAACCTATCTACTCCACAACACTACAATTGTAATGGAGACCGCTAAGGTGTGCGGATTTTTGGGATATCATCCTCGCTACATCAAACACTAACGCATATATATACTTAAGAACGCCGCAAACTACGCGAAGGAGACCGTCCAGGGAACTGGAGCCGAGGCCTCCAAGGAGACCAACAAGAATGTTGCTAAGGACTCTGATGCTGGCTTGGGTACCCGAGCAAGCGCTGCAAAGGATGCCCTCGTGGACAAGAAAGATGAAAAGTCTCATGAGACCAAGGCTGATGTTCATAAAGGTAATTCAAAATCTCTTTTATTGTTTCGTTCCTCGCTTTATGGAACGTTAAAAATATTATAGAAGCCGCTAAACACTAAGTGGGTGGACATGAACCCAAAATTATGATATAGTATGAACGAATATCATTGCTAAGTCTCAAGTCTTAATAACAGTTGCTTTCAAGATTTTTTTTTGGATGCTGCAAAGTGAATTGAATATAAATCCGAAATAGACCCAAAGCAGTCTGCGGTGCTCACACCAGACTAGATTTATTTCTCAAAAGGTGTGGGCATCCCTGAGTTACCTGGCCATCTGCTGTGGAACAGGTCTGCGAGATTATCGATCGGTACCTTCATGAGACCCAGAACTTCCTCAAATGGTGGTTTGTCTGGTGCACTAGGATTGGAGTGTGAAGGAACGAACATCTTCTTTCGGCCAAAGCTTCTAGCATAGCTCTCGCTATCCTATTCTTGAGTCAAAAATTCTTCCAGCCTGGGCAAATGGTCAATCTCTTCCTCATTATTATGCTTGTAGAGATTCTCCATCAGCTTCTTGATAGCGGGAATAAAATTCGTATCCGAAGAAGTCATGGTTTCAAAGCCTTTGAGATTCTCAGTCACCAAAATACATCACGTTAGCATGGCATTCGATATGAGGTGGACTTTAGCTTGCCTTTAAGTAATCTTTACAGCCCTTATCGGCCATGTCGATGCCATCAATGAGAAGCTTCTCGAAAAAAGGATAAACGACAAGCTCTTCTCCAATATAGTGTCGAGCTAGTCCCCAGGTAAACAAGGTCGGGAAGCATTGCTGCTCATCATTTCCCGATGATTCGATGATATTTTCATAGTAGGACTCAATCTCACGAAGATCTGTTTTAATCGCGTCACTGATGCCAGGGGCCATGGCGAGAGGTGAGAGGTGAGCTGTCGAGCCCACGTCTGTGAACCATGAAATCACCCTTTTGATACTGTACTTTAACAACTTGTCCATCTCATAAGCCATTCTCTGGCATAGCAGTCCAGGATGTTACAATACTCAAGCGATCCTTGCATAGAATCACGCTATTTCTTTCAACCTTGATCATAGCAAGCACCTTCGTTCCATCTGACTGATGGAAGACTGGACACTATGTATCACCTCATGATGATGAATCCGTTTGACTGTTGGGTTGATATTCTCTTCGCCTTGTGCTTCACTCTCGCTTAGTGTCCGAGACCATTCTTCAAATGGCTAAACCTGAAGCTGAGGTCGGATTCGTTGAAGGATCGCCAGCACATTAGAGCAAGAAAGTACGTGCGAGGCACAGACTTTGTAGATCAAATCAACAACGTAGGCCACCTGCGCTATGGAGGACTACTGCAGGTCTCCACTCCTACCTACGGACTGGAAATTTGAAACGTGTGAATCCTTTGTACCAAACTAGCTATTCTCTATTTCGTCCTCGCATTTCAAATGCGGTTGGTTTTGACATACGGTCTATGACTTCCTTCCCGGTGATTCCTCTTGAAAATGATACCGTCAGACCTAGCCTTTCGGACTACCCATGAATGCGATGAAACGAGAATCAAAGTCATTCATGTTTGGCAGCATGTGGCCATGCCATATTCGGTTCGTATGATAGCTTAATTCCTGTTTGTTGGTTGCGGTATTATTTTGTAACAAACCGGAAATTAGCGTATGCTCGTTCATCATATGAATAGATCAAATCTATTCGTATTTTTTTAGGCTTAGACATGTGAATAAATGGCCTATCATGTTGATATTAGTCAATCCATACTACTTTCGGACCCCTGACACAAGCCATTCAGAGATGTGCGTCTTCCTCGGCAGTCCATCAATGGCCATAACCAGACGCTGAACGTACAGTCGGGCTAGACATACGAGTATGAGAAACGTGGATAAATTACATAAGAGTGTAGAGGTTATCTGTCTAAGCTTGCAACAAAGCCTGGGTCACACAGGGATTAATAGCTTAACCTAACTTCGACGGTCCATGAACCCGCGCTCGTCCCAGCTCCATTGTCACTTAATCTATTAGAGATGTGAGCAAGCATATCTTACCCCTGAGGAACTTCTTAAACCATATTGTCATCGATACCAACCTGAATGCCAGATTGATTGGTACGAATGATGCGTTTGATGTTTCTCGGATCTATTTGCTGCTTCAGGCAGATTTTCCTGGTCACCTCCCGAACAGTACGTTTCGTCAAGTATATTGCACGATAGTAGCCTACGGACATGAAAAGTTCTTGTCTTCAGCAAACCGAACATAAAAACAAGCGACTGTAAGAGATTAATAATCAAATGGCCAGAAGGTAGATGAAATAGACTATACTAACTTGAATCTGTCGGCTGTTCCGCTGGCGGGTTGTAGGCAGGATCGACATACACAGCTTTGAGAAAATTTTCGGAGCCATCAGACCGGGCCCAAGGAATCTTTTGAACAGGTATTAGATGCCTAGAGCCTTTCATGGGCGCGAAATGACCCAATTCCAAATGTGGCAAGTTAAGCGGTACCAACTCGCTTGTCGGGGAGAGAGCAGAAATGCGAAGTTGCTCGGTCGTTTTGAAGCCATCGATAGTCTGGCGAGTTTTATGGTCGGCTTTTAACGAAACCATTTCCGTGAAGCAGGAGGGGGAAAAGAGTGTGGCTGTCCTGTTCGTCGCCTCGCTGATCAAGGAGAGTTATAGAACGAGTCGACGTGAGCATTGCCTGCATTTTGGCCAGGTTCGCTTGAAGGCAATCTTCGGATGAAAATCCTTGAGAATCTCCATCTTTTGAATTAACAGGCCAGGTGCGCTTATGTTTCCGAGCATTTGAATGGCGCGGCGGACTTCCACGTTTTCGTTTGCCCTGGGCACTGTTTTGTTTCGCTTGCGCGATCTGCTTTCTGAGCTTTTGGATTATTTTTTCAACGTGCGCGATATCATTGGACAGCTTTCGCTGGGCACCGTGATTCCGTAGGACCTTCACTAAGCAGAAATTTATTCCGGGCTCCTGTTTCAGTGCCGCTTCACGGTCTCGGGAGCCCAGTATCTCAGTCTTCACACAGAGTCTGACAGGTTCGCCCTTCACACCTTTGCAGTGACTAAAATATGTGGATAGAAAATTGAACCGAACAGGTATGACACATTCGAACGTTTCAGAGGCCATGTCAGGCGTCCAAGTAACGCAGAACCCGTCAACCGAGGCATTTTCGACGTGAATCTGCTGATTCTCATGCTTCGAATCGCTCCTATGCGTGTTCACATATTCGACAGCGCAGGGATTCATCCGGCGCTTATGGGCCTCATGCAATCCTTGAGTCTCTTCCCACAATTCCCAACAGCTCATCGGCTTCGATCTTTGGTCTGCATTTTCGAATGATATACGGATGTACGTAAAATACCTGACCGGCCCAGTAGACAACACAGGCGGATCCGAGTCCACTACAGAGAGCGTATATATTTGACCCATGTTGAGATAAGTCACGGGGACTGCCTTGGATAACTTGAACATGGCGGTCTGAGCCTTCATAGAGACGTCGTAACGAAGCCTAGAGGAATCGCAAATATTCAGTCTGATGAGAGGAAACAGCTGGGGAAGAAGCTTACCCTTCAGTGTCTACACATGGCAGGCTACTTTTTCCAGTTACTGCAGTAGGGCTCGCAACGCGCAAACTTGAATCAGCACTGGTCGGTTGATGATTTTCATCATTATGTCTGTTCTAACAAAACGAATGCTAACAAGAGGAGTCTAGCCCATCGTGCAAGATAGCAGTCACTAAATAGTGCTTTATTGAGGGCTGTTTTGATTGGTGCTTTGCGCACTCTGCAATCTGTATTGGTGAAATGGGTCAAGCCATAGGCTTTTTGAAAACCAGGGTTAGGGATGAAAATGGCAAGAGCACTATCAGAGAAACCACCTTTCCAGTGGATTTATGCAATTCTGCGGATGCAGGTGCAGATTGTGATATATTCAATTGTGGTAAGTTGAAGAGCAGTACGTCAAATGCAGCGCTGACATGTATTTTTTCTAGAATAGTCTCGCGCGGAATGGCAAGAGGAGGAGTTCACTGGGTGGATGACAGGGCAATCACCATAGTCGGGATATATTTAGAGTCAGCGAGGTGCATCAAGCCTCGTGAGCCCCATAATTAGCCCCGTAGTACGCCTTAGGTATACAGTACAAACCTAGTGCTCCGAAAGGAATTGTCGACGATCGATGAACCGGTAAGGTCTCGTACGTAGCAATGGATTATCACTAAACAGCCTGCGTTTTCTTCCCATAGTAGGTAAGAGCATACCAAACCTGCGGAGGCACTGCGGCCTTTTGGAGGGTATATTCTCTGGCCATCAGGTTGGCCGTTGACTGAACGAGATATCATACCAGGATAAATGATATCAATCCAGATTCCAAAAAAGGTCTCCGCAAACATAGTATGGCAAGGCGGCCAGTTCATCATAACAACTGGACTGGGGTGTCGGATGAGCGTCTTGCAATGGCGCAAACGCGTTGGTTGTAGAGTGAGAACCGGACGCCCGGGAGAAGTTCACGGAAACAAACGTCAGCGATCTAGCTTGCTCGCTCTATCCTCTGTGTTTTCATCTTATCCATCCCTTATAGTAAAGAAAAGTATCATTCCTAGTCGAAAATCTGATACGTACTCCCAGCCGCATCGCAAGCTAATCTTTCTTGGCCAATTTGCCCTGAAGCCTCCCCACTTTGAACAATAGAAGGTCCATAATAAGGTAGCGTTGGTAACCTGGTGCCGTAGTTGGTGAAGAGGGTACCATGTCCTCTGCTAGATGTTGAGAGATAAGGCATGAGGTTGTTGTCCATCCCTAGCATTGTTAGCTCGAAGACTGGGTTATGTCGAAGAATGAGCATAATAGATATAGGATTCGCCAAGTGAGAACAAGAGAAGGTGTATGCCAACTTGAAATTGCCACTAGACAGGGATTCTATACCTTCTTCAAGATTCGTCATGACCAAAGACAAGCACCATATAAGGTCATTGAGATGGCCTAGCGCCTCCGGCAGATATTACGATTTTAAAGGACATATAGAATGTGTGAAATGTTGTTGAGATTACTGTATCGAATGATGGATGAACTTCAGAAGAACTGCTATGTCATGATTGATGCATGTCATAATCGTCATGTCGCATAAAATCGGTCCTCATATTGATAGACCCAAACGACCCCGCCGTCAAACTCAACAGCATTCAAGAAAGTGCCTGCACGCTTTGGGGATTGTGAAATACGTCGTGAGGATCAATTTCGGCCTTGATGGTCTGAAGCCTCGGCAGATTCGGTCCCCAATAAGAGGTCTGTGGATCAATTAGCTGGGGATCGACATATCCCGGATAAGCTCCAAAGTCAGAGCTGGGATGGTATGATGCAGCAACTGCATTCAGCCCGTTGAGAAAATTCTTCGTTGTAGTAGAGATGGGCCCAAGAAGGTTGACTGCGTAGGACTGCATCCACATGATGGCTTCGCGATGGGCGTAAGCAGTAGCGTTGATAGGAATGTCGTTAGTTGCACCACCTTCCACGTTAAAGATGATAAACCAGACCGTTGTCCCTTTTTCAGTTGTACCAATGTATTTGAACATTGTATCGACTCCTCTATCTGGGATGAGGTTCTCTGGAGTGAAAGACATGGACTTGCTATAAAACGGGACCGGGATTCCGCCGACAACTGACTCCGTAAGAGTTTCAGCGCCGCTGCCAAGCATGCCCATCCAATCAGTCAGGGTCACAATATTTGCTGGGTTGCTAGGTGGGAAATGCTTCTCGATTTTGAAGGCTTCCCATTCTTCTTTGGAGCCAAAGTAAGTGCCCGAGATGATGACGCCTGCGACAGATACTATAAGCTCGGACGCGAATTTCCGGGAAAGATCCTTGCTGGATATCAGCCGTTGCCAATCCTTGAACAGTTCCGCTTTTTCGGATGTGTTGCCTAAGTTCCAAATAAAGGAGTATTGGATGGCCTCGCCTGGTGCTTCGTGCGTGTGCAGCTTAAACTCAGTGACAATTCCAAAGCCCGCTGCAGCACCTCTAATGGCAAAGAAGACGTCCTGGTTGTGAGCTTCAGAAGCTCGGATGATGGTCGAATTGGCCAAGACGACCTCAGCCTCAACGATATGGTCCAGGGCCATGCCCCACTCGCGAGACAGCGGGCCTAGACCGCCAATTGTAAAGTGTCCACCAGTGCCAACTTGAGGACAGGTTCCATGAGCCACTGCTCTTCCACCTGCATAGTCGAGACGAGTCTGAAGATCTCCAAGGAGTGTGCCTGCTCCGATAGTAGCGACGAGAGTGTCAGGATCGACGGAGAATTGCTGGAACTTCTTCAAGTCAACGACCACTGCGCCATCCGTGCCTCCGAGACCTATCAAGAAGTAGAGATTAGCAAGGTTAAGTAAGTTCTGGGTGGACACAAGAGATATACCATAATTAGCATAACTGTGTCCTCCGCTGCGCGCCTGAACCTTGTACCCATTGTCGACCGCGCAGCTGAGGATGCTCGCGACTTGTTCTGTCGTACTGGGGTACGTGATGGCTGCTGGAATCACTGGAGTGTCTAGATTGTAAAGGGGGATGCGGAATGTAAAGAAGGCGTCAGTTCGAAAGGTCACCATCGACGGATTATGTCCGACGGCTGCCACGAGGCAGTCGTGGCCGGCGATGCTTTGAGCGTTTCCCATCGCGAAGTCGTGGACGGAGTTTTGTAGAAGAACACAGGAGAAAGAGGGAGAGGAGGGTGTGAAGAGGGAGAAGAACGAGACAGAAGATACATCCCAAGAAGTGAGTGTGAGTCAAAGAAAAGATTGAAGCTGAGGAAGCTGTACCAGAGTGCGACTCCCGTCCTCATTGCAGAGCCGATTCTCGTGTCCAAAATTACGCTAGATTCAGCTTCCCAATGGAGCTACCGTGACTGGAAATTTACAATTAAGGATAACAGGCATACTGTAATATATATTCCCTGACGGCGACAATACTAATTTATCCCGTTTTCCTGCCTGCCAGGTAACTGGTCTATTGATGCTGATGGTGATTCGATTGCGATGACGTCATTCGGGTCCATAACACCGCCTCTTTAGTACAGGATTTCTATACAATATGACAGCTATCTTATAATAATGGGTCGAGAAAATGCCATGATGGCAATAATAGGCTGAAAAGGCCGCTTCAATATGTTTGCAGGGCTGTTCAGTACCTTTTTACAGTAGAGCGAGAGCAAAGGAAGCATACAGAATAACGATGCATCCCCAGAAGACCGGTCGCAATCGACAAATCAGCGTTCTCCTCGATGGACGCACGTCGCATTGCGCATTTCCAACTTGGACAGCACCAGCTGGAGGGGCAACTGAGTGTCTTGCTCTCATCTCGGGGAGAGAAAGAGTATCCTCTTCCTCAGCCACAGACTTCAGAATAAGTACTGATACTCCGGATCGGCCATGGTTCAAAGCCGCCAAGAGATGCTACGAAGCTGATTGCCTTATGCATAAGCCTCTCTATAGAGACAAGGTGAACCTGCTTGGTTATATTGCAACGCATGAAAATGAAAGCAAAAGAAGAGAAAAGAAAGGTAAGTTTTGGCTAATTCACGTGCATATATCATTGAAAGTGACACGAATGATTATCTGAAGGAGTAAGTGGAATAAATAGAAGACGTCACCATTTTCGGGCTTTGGCCAAATGCAACACTTCTTCTGCATAAACTGGGCTTTTTTGCCTAAAGTATTTGCCATTGCAGTAACTGTAAACTTTGATGCGTGGGGTAATATTCCTTGCTCAATCATAACCCTTCCCACCCCCTCCCTCCCTCGCCTTCCCAATTGCACCAATCTTGCCTGTTTTTTTCGTTTTATGATTTAATGTCTAATCGAGCATTCCTCTGTATTTTAGTAGCGAGTAATTCTCGATTCGATGTTGCAGTCAATTTGTGCCGACGCTGTTGTGTGTGATATAAGACTTGCTCGACTGGAAGCAAAGCTGCAACATCGGACTTAATCCCACACTTTGTCTTTACAAAAACAAGTTGATTTGGAATCAAATCGGACCGCATGTTGTGTATACATAGCCTCATCTCCCCCTCAGGTAATATGACATTCCTCTGAACTATAGCAGACTCCTCAAGGTAATTCATAAAACCCGGATATCCCAGTGGGAGCGAGCCCACCCGATCAATCTACCGAAAGTGCTACGTTTTACCATGAGTATAGCCTGACTATTTCTTTAATTTCCTCTTTCTCAGCTTACTCCCACCCATCTGGATCCGCAGCTTCCGGCTCTGGCAATGTCAGCATTCCGTTGACCTTTAGGTCGCTCAGTTTAGACTTTGCCACGTTTGCTTCGTTTGCTCAATTGGACTAGTTTTCTAGGATTAACTTCACTTAGATTCTCTACGTTTAGCTTTTCGATACGCCGAGACCCTGACATGTCTCTGGACTTGTAGAATCCTGATCTCTGCCAAAATTCCGATCCTACTTCTCATATTTCCCGCCTGTATTCACCATGCATGTTCTCCCTTTGGTGGCATTCCTCCCTCTCATTCTTGGAACAATATCCTCAGCGCAAAGTGCACTATCCAAGGCAGAAACTGCCCTCGATGTCTTGCAGACATGGTATAATGGCAGCACAGGGATATGGGATACATCTGGGTGGTGGAATGGAGCCAATTGCATAACAGTACTTGCTTATCTGGATCTGATGGATGGAAACGAAACAGTCTAAAGATCTGCGATGGAAGTGTTCAACAACACGTTTGCTGTGGGTTCGAAAGTAAACCCTCATCCCAATTTGGGGAGGGTAATTTCGTGGCCACCACGGACAAGGGACGTTCAGACGCTCGGCATCGTCGAGGCCTCAACTTAGACTGATGGCTCCTACGATGACGACTCCTGGTGGGCACTCGCCTGGATCGCAGCATATGATGTCACCAAGAATCAAGATTACCTAGACCTGGCGATCGGCATCTTTGACCATCTGGTATGGAGCCACAAATATGAAAGGACTAATGCAATGCTGATTGATCTTCCATGCAGACCAACAACGGGCCAACCACTTGCAGCCGTGGCGGAATCTATTTGGATGATAACCACAACTATGTGAATGCTATTACTAATGAGTTATTCCAGTCTGTCGCTGCACATCTGGCGAACCGCGTGCCAAACAAAGAGAAATACGTTGGCTGGGCTCGACGCCAATGGAAATGGTTCCAGATCAGCAGAATGATCAATGACCAAGGCATCATTAATGATGGACTAACAGATTGCAAGAACAGCGGACAGCCTATGTGAGTCGCACATGTCTTGCGAAAATCACCATACGATGGCTAACGGTGAATGCTTTTTGTCTTTCAGATGGTCCTACAACCAGGGCGTCATTCTCGGTGGCCTCGTTGAGTTGGATCGAGCTGCTCCCGATCCATCATACTTGAAAGCTGCGTCCAGTATTGCCAAAGCTGCCATTGAAACACTAGCCGACTCGAACGATGTGATCCACGACACATGCGAACCAAAGATCTGTGATGCGAACGCAAGGCAGTTCAAGGGAATCTTCATCCGAAATCTTAGTCTCCTGCACCGTGTCTCACACAATGATGAATATGTCAAAGTTATTCGAGCATATGCGGAAAGCATATGGACCCATGGTCGGAACAGCACCAACAATCAGCTGGGAGTGGGTTGGGCAGGTCCGATCACAATAGTCGATGCGTCCACCCATAGCTCAGCAATGGATGCGCTGATAGCAGCGATTGCCATTACCTAATATGCGATCTTCGAACTTGAAACTGTTGCATTCTGCTATATATATATATATCGATGTAGACCTGGGGGCGGGGGAACCTAGCGTCATATTGATCGGTGGTCACTCACTTGTTAAACCGCTGCAGCCGCCCTCGACATCAACTTGACCGATACACACTGGGTATTTCTTCCCTGGCCCCACCGCCAAAGCTTTAGCGCAGTTAGTGCCCTGAAACGAACGAAGTGAGAGAAAGGGAATAATCAACACGGATGTACGTGCGCACGAGACGTTGCAAAAAGCGGTGGCTTAACTACGTATAAACTGTTTTGCCACGCACGTCCGTCATATCGACTCCCGTGATCGGGCCTGCCCAATCCACTCTGAGCTGAATGTTGGTGCTGTTCCGACTATGGGTCCATATGCTTTCCGCGCATGCTCGAATAACTTTGACATATTCATCATTGTGTGTGACATTATTTTGTTGACAAAACGGCTTTATTACCTCTGTTGAGATTGATGCAAGATCCATCGTATGGTGCCTTACAGTCGAGGCATCATTCTGATGTATCAATTCAGATGCCTCAGATCTCTTCAGGTCAACATTGACACCACCCAGTTCAGTACTGTGCGACCAGAGTTTTTCTCCTTATATAATAGCAGATCTTTCATACTATGGAAGATCAGACTCAAACACCCTTCTGGAATAGACTGTTTGCATGCTTCATTCATCTTCTACCATTAGACATCGTGTATTTCAACAACCTCAACGTAACAGCCAAGAGCAATTTTGACATACACATATATATATATTGAAATGGGGATGGCTCAATGGCATAGCATACAGGTCGATATCATGGATGAAGGATCAAGCAACCAACACTCCCTAGACAATTATGACAGTTGCTGTTGTCCCTGTCTCCGCCGCCATCTCTGAAAAAGAAAATTAGTTGGCAATTGCGTCTATTAGGGGAACATGGCGGGCATAAGCGAATGTGCAGAGAACTCACATATTGTAAACCGATACTTGTGAATCATGCGTCATATTGTCCACCTAAATGATGTGTTCCTTTGAAATTGCGTGTTTAATAATTGAGACCAAGACTCAAGTTTAATAATTGAGACCAAGACTCAAGTGAAATGAATCCCATCAGGCGTGATGCTGGGGCGAACATAGTTCTACGTAATTGTGACGTAACAATTGTCTGCGTGTCGCTGGAGAGATACCATTCATTGCTCAAGATAACAGGTATAAGTTTCGATTACGATCCTTTTTTCCTGGAGGAGAACAATGAATTATATATAACTTGAGATTCAATTTGGTTTCCAATCACTTGGTGCTAAGCTCTAAGCTTTATGGAGACATGATTTGAACTAGTCCATAAAGACTTGACCAGCTTTCTCGAATGTTGTATGGCATTGTTGAGGCACAAAAGTCAACGCTAGACACCCTTTTCGGTGCGCAGTTTCTGTCTATGGAATGCTTCCTTGACCCTGTCCAATGTTGATTTTGCGCGGCCACCCTCTGCAGTCCTTGTCGAAGCGACCCCCGGAGCGTCGGGTTGTTCGACTTCACCCCTGACTGCGTCTTCATGCTCATGAAGCTGTTTCAGCAATTCGCATGTTAGCTTACCGTATTGATTAATACATTCGAGTTTGGGGGTAATGAGAACTTTGGATGAGCTTACTCTTTCTTTTTCTACCCCAGCATTGAGAGTAGGATCATGATCCTCTATGGCAGCTTCGTTGGTAATGCCACTCATGATATATGTTCGATGATATTGGTGGATAATAGAGTAAAATCTTTTTAGATGTCTTCAAACAGATGTCTACGCAACGCTGCAGCATTATAATAGAAGCGCATCAATCCTCGTGACTGGTCTGTCGTCATTTACAGCTTAGGTGGTCGAGCGGCACACCAATGAGCGTGTGGAATTACAATCCGAACAGAAGTCATGACTTGCGCGTTTGGCTCTGCTCATTGTGACATGGGTGGCTAATCTAAGTACCAAAATACCATTATAACTAGGCAAAGACTACATGTATCTTTAGCAGGGGTTTGCTATGTTAACAAGTCTTCGGCGTCGTGCAGACAGCTCTTCGTGCATTTAAAGACTAGTATTTGAATATCGCAAGAATACTCGAAGAAGCAAGACATCATAATTTGTTTCGTATCTCAAAAATTCATCGTTAAGAGATATGATGAAACCTAGATAGTTCTTCGCATTTCAATCGCCGCATCAAATTTTCAGCTTAGGTTTCCTTCGTTCGTGTTGAGACCTGTTGAAAGCCGTGCATTCGTTTTGCCACCACTATTTGAGTTTGTTGCTGGCTTCTAGGATTTTTGAAGTTCTAAAAAGCTAGTCAAGATGCAGAGCAAAGAAAACTCTCGCATTCCTATTGAATGCGCTTTAGAGTCAGGGCCGCATTTATTGTTGGGCAACTTATCGTTTTCCTGAGTTTGCCACTTGGCCAAGTCTTATACATAATCCATTTCAGACTTAAAAAGTGAAAAAGTAGCATTCAAGCAACCTGTCTACGCTATAGTGTATAGACAAGGAGATTTAGAACTGCCAGATTGCGTATAGCTCAGCTGCGCCTGCGAGGTCCTCCACAGCCTGCTTTGTGGTCCCCGGGGGCTTGAAACTCGTAGGGTCGCAGATAGTGTATTAACTCGCTATTGTACTAATATGAATGAGTAGGAGCAGGAAGCCCTCTTAGCTTGAACGTAACTAGAGCCAGTATTTGCACTTCGCCGGGCTCGGTAATTCTGTACAGATAGCACGGGTTTTAATCTCGGTGGTTTGCCGTTCACCCGCCAGTTGGTGCCCAGACATCGCCGTTCTCATTACTGCCTCCAGAAATCAGGGGGAAACTAAATCTACTAGGCCTGATGCGATATCAATTTCCTTGGGTCTGGTGTATTTCACGGCTGATGTCTAGGAAAAGCCCCCTTTTCCTTGTTATGCGCATTTTCTGCCTCTGTCCATATAAACTGCAACCAGGTGTTCAACGCCCCCATCCAAATACAAAAATACGCTCTTTATCATCAATATCAAGAATCGGACACGCTCCTGTTGACGGCTCCATCGGTGCTAGGAACACTCTTTTTGACCCTAGGAGTTCTCCTGCTCCCGGGGGCCCCTGAACCGTTTCTGGGAGCAAAGAAGCTGCTTCTAGAAGCCACGTAGCCCCCAGGAAACCCGACATAGCTTCTGAGGCCTAATACCGTCACTTCGAGGAACCAAAGCCACGTTACTGTTGACAGTCTTTTGGTTCCTGGAGGCGTAATTGCGGCTCGTGGGAAGGGATCCAATGATGCAGATTTGTGCGCAGGGCTGGTGAAGGTTTTGTGTGAAAGCTTGGCGATCTTGGAAGGCAGTGTAGTGACTCTAGGGCACTAGCGTAAGCTCCCAGGGGCTTCATAATTCCCAGATCAAGCCAATGTATTCCTAAAGGGAGTTCGTGATCAGTCAGGAACGTTGAGTAATGGTGTTAGGGATATACATGAAGTATACAGGATGTTTGGAGAAATGATCTGCGGGACCCACATGGTTCATGTGGGTTCCCCTGAACGCGAGGAAGCCTGTTCCTTTTGCTTCCTCGCGCTACGTCTTGTATCTAGAGTCAACTACAGCCTTCTTTAATATTGATTAATCATCTACGGATACGTGAGGCCCTCACAAATGGTCCCAGGAGCATATCTCGTCTTCCTGGAACCTAGAATAGCCCCAGGAGCTTAGACATATGGGATCAGCTCCTGCAGATGACGTCGAGGCTCCGAGAGTCAATATATTGATTTCCAGAGTCAAATCGATAAGCACAAGGGTTTGTTAGTCTCTTGCCAGCTTGAGAGGTGTTTTCTGCCAACAATCTCCGTCCCCACGTGACGCGACTCTTACGATGTATCTGTTTGTTTCATCGCGCTGTTCAATGCAAAAGCATTTCGTAACGTGGTTGTTAGAGTACAGACTAGTACGGGCATAGCCAATGCAGTACTTCAGGGTGCGAGTTTTCTATTCTGTGGAAAGTGCAAAATAAATGGGGGATCAGCCTAGTAAGGTTTTTGAGGGCCTGAGATCATCAGGCAGAGGGGTTGTGTTGCGATCTGTACTGTATCCGGCCAATTGGAGATATCAATGACTCTGTATTTCCATTACCCCTATTTCTACTATTTATGGGTCCATTCTAGTTACATAAGTTATGCCGACGGATCATCAATAGATCCGGTTTCATGCAGTATTCGTAAGGTAATTGCGACAGGTTGCTGAATATTCTTCGGGCGCGCTAGTAGCATTGCGTTTCCCTTTGGTCGACAGAATAGCCTGTCTGCCAGCACAGTTCAGCGCTTAGTCATTTCGTCATACGCGAAGCAGTTTGCAGCCTTTGATTCCGATGTAATGGTAAGGTCGATTGCGTTTTACTCTATTCTTGAGTTGAACCATCAAAATTGCATTTTCTGCTAAGTTTATTACAAAAATCAACCACAGGTATGATGCCCGTTGCTGATCGCAATGCCGAGCGTCTAACCAAGCGTTACCGGATGGGTTGAGATCTTTGCTGAATTCACCTTCACGTCATACTTCAGCTGTTATCGCCTACACTGCGTCGAGGTGAGTCGTGCCGACCGACGGAGCGGTGCAGTAGACGGGACTCGTGGTGGGTGGGCCCCTGATATTCTGATGGAGCGACGGAGACCACTTCGCTCGACTGGTGCCGGCAATCCCTCCGACCGCTGACGTGACTGACTCTGAGGCCCGTATCTCGCTTGTCCAACCACTCTTCCGCGCAGGATAGATGGGAAAGCGTTTGGCATTGTGGACAACACAAGATCACGGACTCGTTCGCATGTTCTTCATCCTCGGCCAGGCAGAACACACAGTGGATGCTGTCGACCGCGTCGCTCGGCGTGATACGCTGGAACGTCAAACTCTGGAAATCGGCCAGGGAATTGGTTCTTGAAAGGAGAACAGCCGGTCGGGCCGGCGACACTTGCCACGGGACATTGTTGGTCCGCAGCGTTGTGGAAGTCACATATGAATTGAATGGCAGGTCTGGCTCGGGGCTTGTTGGCAGTACATGAGTGTCTTGTCTGAGCCCGCGCTATGACCGGTCAGTTTCGTCAGACTGTGGAGTGCGTCTTTGGGAGAATGACAATGTCTCACGCTGGCCCGGGTGCTCAACCGCTGATGAACAGGCCGTTCTGGAGCCATGTGGTACTTGTGTCTGGTTGCGGACGGCGGCTTCATACCACTGCTGGCCAAGTTGTTCGGCCTGTAGTTGCCGATGCCATCTCGTGCAGAGAAATTCTCTGGCAACGTCGCAGAGCTTCGATTGCAAATTTGACAGGTCAAACGGCTCTCTCGCGAGAGTGGCCAACTTTTGATGCCCTATCTTGGTGTCTACAACTTTGATCGAGTTCTTGCACGGCTCGCCTTGTTTCGTCATCCCGCAACAGGAGCCAGGTCCGCCATTGGGGCTGACCTCTATCTCACAAACCAGAAGCGGATTCCAAGGAAGCATGGTAGTCATTGAGGTGGTCGTCAAAGGCAGAAAATGCTTCGGATTGTGGTGGTGTTGGGCAATCACCGCAGCGTTCCCTCGCCAGCTTTATATGCCATCGCGTGGGCTCCTTATCTACATGGCTGCGTGGCTGGCATGGAAGGCTTCCTTGAAACAGTCGGTACTTCGAGAAAATGCATTCACACGCAGTATGCGCCGTATACAGCCGATCAGTGGCCTGCATGAAGGGATATCATTCCAGACCACTGCTGCAATCAGCTGCACTTCTGACTATCCATCGCGGTGACCACGCATTGGCGAACAGATTGGCTACTGCGGTAGGCAGCGAAGTCGACAAATGCTGCGTTAGGTTCTGGGTTGCCTATGAATTTCGAAGTGCGTGATAGGTTGTGATTTGTTCTTATGGCGCTAGATGCAGATGTGGGTACGCAGAGATAGATTCAGTTCCCATGCCATCGACACACTACCAGGAACAGTTTTGGCGTTCCCAGGAGCTACACTCCAGAGATTCTCCAACTCCGCCTTAACGTGTTTGTCAAGGCTTTGATGCTGCCGTGTGATTGCTACGCACCTCTCAGCGGAGTGACAGACTACACTCCTAGCTGACCACGGAATTTAGCTGAGGTGAGTATATAAAGGCCTCCCATATCCTACTTTCACATCTCTCACCTCACCCCTATCTACATTTCGTTTGCTCCATCCGCTGTCCAATCATGGTCCGTTCAATTCGTTCTTACGGGGTTTACCGATGAGCTAATACGTTACAGCCAAATATCAGAGACCTGCCCAACGAGCTTTTGCTGTGGATTGTGTCGTATTTGGACGGTAGTGCATTATTTGCCCTCGCAAAATCATGCAAAGACCTCGATTTTAGACTGCAGCCCAGCATCTGGAAATACAATATCAAATTTCAGAACAGCAATCTGTTGCACCTGGCCGTCAAATACGACAACGTTGGTCTTGCGGAGGTTTTGCTCCGGCAAAACGCCAACATCAATGCATTTTACCGAGGCAAAACTCCTTTAATGAGGGCGCTCAAATACTCTTCCGCTGCTGTGCGGGACCTCTTGCTCAGTCGTGGAGACCTACACATCAACATTCAAAATCAAGCGCGGCAGAGCGCCCTGTGGTATGCTATCCACTACGGAACCTTTTCCGCCGTCAAAAGTGTCTTAAATCAACCCAACGTCCAGGTGGACATCAAGCACAAGCACGGCCGAACGGCGCTCCACCTAGCAGC